CTTTAGTAATGATGTTAGCTAATGGTGAGTCTGGTTTTGACACTAAACCTTTACCAGCGAAGTCGTCACAAACTAATAAAGTGTTTGATGGATATTTTTTGAAGGGGTATTTTGAAAGTTTTGATAGAATGTAGTTTGTCAGTCGTTTCATATCGTAAACTCCTGAGTACTGACGTAAGTGGTGTTTGTCAATAATTCTTTCCATCTCTTCTGAAGTCTTTTGCATTCCTGACTGTATAAATTCAACGATGGCATAATATTTCCTCTTACGTCGAATGTAACGTTGAAGAAATTCAATGAGTTCACTGTCTGGAACTTTAACGACAGAGGCTTGAACTTTTGACATAAATGTTTTCGCTGTTGAGTCCATAGAGTCTGAAGTTGCTGATATAATGATTTGGTCATAATATGAGTCATTTCCTAAACGTTCTGTTATGAGTATATGACGAATGAGGTTAAATGTCTTACCTGAACCCATCTTTCCACAATAGAAATACACACCATTTGAACAGAACTCATAATCTTTGCTGAAAGGAAGAATAAGAGAAGAGTTAAGTTTGTCTGTAGTTTCATTCATGTCTTCATCTACGTCATGTATTAAATGCTTCATTTTATCTCCATTAAAAATGCAAGTCAGAAATATTCAGAACATAGCACCGAGTCTAACTGACAAGAGTATAAAGATATACTATGAACACGTTATGATGAAACCTACCAAAATTCAAGAAAGTCAGTATACTTATGAATATCCAAGACACTGGGTAGAGTATGTAGGAGGTGAGAAAGCTATTGAAATCAGACAAGTTAGAAGTATTCCAGCAGGAAGAACAATATTATTGAAGAACTTTAATGTTTTGAGATATAATGATGAAACAAAGAAGCAAGATAGTTTTCCTGTTGCTGTGTATGTGAACCTAGACACAGGAGATGACATGAAAGTTTTTAACACAAAGCTTCAAACGGTAGTGAGAGAACAACTTACTGCGGAAGGACATCCATTACCTTCAGAAGTTACCATAGCATATAATTTTGAAACAAACTCAATAGATTTTAAAGTCATCTCTGCAAAGAAGTCAGGTTTTACATTTAATGAAGCAGATGTATATTCGAATGAAAACTTCAAAGCTATTATGGTTAGATAATGACGATTGCTTTAAGAAAATATTTAAATACAGTGACTCAACGATGTCAATAGATGACCTTCGTGGAATGTTACCATCGACGTTTACAGTAGAAGGTTCAGCAGGATTGCTTACAAGATTGTCAATTGGTGGTATTTGGTCTCGTGAGAACATTGTTATAAAATCCAGTATAAGTGAATTTGCTGAAGAATCTATATTATGTCTTTCAAACTACATGTATTCGCCGCCGAAGCATTATAGTATAACAAACTTTGTCAGTAAGTTTAACATAAGACTTGTCGAACCTTCTTCAATGAAAGATGTTGTGCTACCAAAAGATGGAAAGGATGGACTCATTATTGAAATGATTTTAATTGCATATTAAATGAGCTTGTTCTTGAAGGTCATTCATGATGAAATAACTGTTGTAGAAGATGTTAGCAATTGTTCAGACATTTTGAAGCGTATAGATGAGATAAGAAAGAAGTTAGATAGACCGCAAAGCGGTGAGGGCGAAGCCCGTGAGAATGTTTATGTTTCATTGACTTTCTCCAGTAACGAGAACTTTTATGAGATAATATTGAAGAGAGATGATTTTAATATGGTGTAAATGGTAGCTTGGGCAGCTTTAGGCGCAATGGGAACAAAAGCATTAGCATTTGGAGCAAAAGCACTTGGAGCTTATGACGCAGTAAATAAAATGAGTGGAGGAAGGGTTTCGAAGACATTAGATGCAAATAAAGGGAAGATTGGAGGCTGGGTTGCAAAGAAGTTAAGATTAAATAAAATAGGGCTCATAAATAAAGCATCCAATTTGGTTGCGACTGAGTCAGAAAATGCTTTAGGAAAGGACGATGAGTTTGCAAAACACGCAAAAGACTTTAATGACCAGATGAAAGGTGAAACAATGCATTTAAATAGAGTCGATGGAACTAAAGAAAATGTTTCTTCTCCACCAGTAGTTCATCCATACGGACCTTATGCAATGTATGGAAACCCTTACGAAAGACCATTTGACCCATTGACTGGTGGAAGTAACTGGTATCATTACGGACGAAGAAGAAAGACAGTCAAGTTGGAGACAGACGTGAAGAAAGCAACTAAAAAGAAACCAAGGAAGAGAGTTATAAAACAATGAATTCAACAGGGTGAAAAAAGAGGTGAAAAAAGAGGTGAGATCTCACCACTTCACCTAAATTTATTTTTGTGCTATGTTTTCATACGTGTGGGAGTGGTGATATCATTAATTTTTAAGTTTATTTTTTATTTTACTGAAAATTTTTATTTGGATGTAAATGACAGAACAAAAGCAACTCATACAAATCGAAAAATATAACAAACATACATTTAAACATTTATTCTTCCTTCCTGAGTATAACATGTTCTTTACACTTCATCTTAGACCAGTAGATTATACATTGACTGTGTATAAAGATTGTCATGGTAGTTTTATAAAAACTTATGATGATGAAGGTAAGTTAACAAGACTATGCATTTCAAAACTTGAGAAACTTTATGACTTCAAGTATGACTACAATAGAGTTAACATTGACGATGAAGATATAGAAGAAAATTTATGAGAACGTTTATTTTTTCATTAATGAGTTCGTTAGTGAGGTGAAATGGTTGGCGGTTTTGTAAATATTTAAGGTTAAGTTGGTTTTTGCGTTTGATTTGTAAAATATACGTTAATGGTTTTGTAAAGTGTCAAATTCACATATAATGGGTAAGGAGGCGCGCAGTGCCTCCGTACCCAAGATATGTTTACTAACTTTAAATGCGCCTTACCACTTGCGATTGGAATTGCCAATCAGATAATTCAATCTGATATATCTATTGAAAACATACAAGTTGCTCTATTCTTGGATTCAAGCAGGACAATTAGCTCAGAACATCAAAGAAATGCAGTTTTCTCAATGTTTGTTTCATTAGCAATTGCATTAGAATATCTTCATATTCCATCAAATCTCTTCATTTTCTGTGATACAGGATTCCAATTCTTTGTCAAATCAAGTAAGTATACGCTCAGAAAGGAGCATATACAAGTAGCATTAGATGCATTTTCTGTTTTTAGAAAACTCTCTAATTTCGGTGATGCTTTATCAAAGATCAAGAATTTCAATGTTTCAACAGCATTTGTTATTACAGATGGTTTGTTGTATAACTTACATGATACAAAAGGATACAAGGGATTGCTCAAAGATCAAGAAATAAAAGTCAATTTCTTGATAATGTCATTATTGCAACAAGATGATTTAATCCAAATGCAGAGTTATATAGGGTGTCCAAAGGTGTGTTTAGCACAAACCTGAATACTGCGAATAGAAATAAACAAGTTACATATATATAAAGTTTATTTAAATATAATCACCATTGGATTCAATCACGCGTTCGCAGCGATCGATCCAGGCTTGAAAGACACGCTTTAAATCATCATGAGAAAATTGCTCAAATTGCTCTCTTACAAAATTTTCAAGATCATCTGGACTCGCGAATTCGCGTCCTTCAGCTCTCTTTTTTAGCGTGCCGAATAAATAAAAGTCAGAGGGTGCAATATCAGGTGAATAAATTGGGTTTGGAACAACTTTGACATTGTTTTCCACCAAGTAATTCATTACCTTATGACTTTTGTGAACTCTTGAATTATCAAAATGAATCGCAAACTTTTGTTTTTGTTGTTTGGATTTCTCAAACTCATCAGAATTGATAATTTGAGTAAGAACATTGTCAATTAGATACTGAGCATTCATCGTATTAGGTTTTTGAAGAATATCAATTGCGATGATGCCATTCACGCCCCAAAAAACCGACAACATCATCATTGGTGTGTCAATTTTTTTCTTCGGGAATGTTTGCGGATTTTCATCCTTCGGGATCCACATGATTTTGGCTTCTGTTGCATATTGAAACCAAGACTCGTCCCCTGTTACTAAAAAGCGAAACTTCTTGGATTGATACGCACCCAATATAGAGAGGAGCTCTTTCGAAGATTGGACTCTAGATTTTTTTTGAACTGAATTAAGGTTGTGCGGAACCCAACGTGTATACGCTAGTTTGTAGTTCAAATAATTGTGCAGATAATAACTGACTGTTGTACGTGGTATCTTTGTCATCTCCTCTATCCTTCTGAGTGATGCTCTTGGGTCTTCATCTAGCGCTTGAAGAATTGCTTTGATTTTTCTTTGATCCGGCGATTTTTTGTCAATTTTTATGATGGGCGCCTTTTTGTTCATGAAGTGATACATCCTAACATGATACGTTACAGTGGAATAGCTAGGAGCATCCATACCGAAGCATTTTACCAATGTCTCGTAGATTTTTTTACAGTCTTTGCATTTTTTTGCAAGAGCGAGGATGTTTTCTTTATGATTCATTAAAAAAATGAAAAAAATCCCGCCAAAATTTCCCGCGAAACCGCCTCTTGTCTCATAATTCATTTTATATCCCGGCATGGCGCCAAAATACAACATACTCATCATATACATATATTCATATTTTTTATTATATATTTATAATCAGCATATATCTCCTTTAATAGTCTCATATAGAGCGCTGTGCTAAACGCACCTTTGGACACCCTATATTAACGAATCTATCACCAAGATCAATGATAGAAATCCAAAACTTAATGTCACTTTCATTAATGAAATTGCATCTGCATATAAGAATTCTAATGATATTGTTCAGTTCGTCGTTAATGGTTTCTTGAAATCAGATGAGAAAAATCCAAATAAATATATTTCAAGAATTAGTCGTGCCACAGAAACAGATGAATCAAATTATGAATTCCAATATATTGATAATGATTCTTATGATTATTCTTCATCTTACAATGAAACTCTTGAAATTGATATTTCTGATGTTTTTGATACTCCAATCATGGATGAATCTCAATTTGTCATTAAAAGCAAGAAATCAAAGGAGTTGTCTTTCAAAGGATATGAAAAAATCAAATCAATTCAAGCAAGAGTTTCAAATTCATTTGAACCTAACAAACCAACGCAATTTGCACAGAGTACTAAAGGAAGTAACATTTCTATCAAAGGATACATTCAATTTTTGATCACTCAAGGTCAAGAACAAAGGATTTATCTTGAGAAAAATGCTGGTTTAGTTCTCTCCCAATCTTTGTTTGTTGTAATTGATGGAAGTATAAGTTGCTTCAATGAACATGTTTCAAATCATTCGCTTCAGACTATAATTTGCACATTAGGTTCATTGAAACTTGTTGATTTCGATACAGTAACAATTTTTATTAGTAAAGGCAATGAAATAATTGAAATTTGCCACGAAGTCCAAAATCATGACTTGTTTGCTGAGAATTCTCCGATTTGGAATGGAATTATTAATATTTGTTCCTCGGCATCCTCAAACAGTAATATTATTTCAGCTCTTGCATGCGTAGATGATATCAGAGCGAAACAACAAACAAAGCAATCCCTTTGTTTATGTTTTACAGATTGTTTAATGTTATCTCACGAAATGAAATCTCCTGGAACAATAATAACACAACTTGAGAGCAGACGAGCAGACGTTTATGCAATTGGCATTGGTATCAATCCAAGAAACATAACGAAAGGATTCAAATACTCATTCTGGTCATTAATCTTTTGCGTTGATATCTAATCCGTGCGAAATCAAAAGTTCGGCTATATCTTTCAATTTATATTTTGCAGCCAAATGAAGAGCTCCTACATTATTCAAATCTATTTTTGTGATACTGACTCCACTTTCGATGGCGTATTTAATAGTTTTTGGAATATTATAAAATCTAATTGCACGTAAAATATTAAATTTTTCGACTGCACTTTGCTTGAATTTTTTAAATATATATACGAGCAAATCATCAATATTGAATTTGAGCATAATTTTATCAAAAGAAGATATTTGTCCCGAATCAATTGCTATCAAAAATGCTTCAAGATTATAGTATTTTGCGACTATTTTACAAATATTTTGAGGTGGATAGTTGTTATTTAAGTAGTTGAAGAAATCAATGTTGTGGGACATAATTGCATATTCAACACTTTGAAGAATATTTGAAGAATTTATTAAAGGTAATGATTCATGTATAATCTTTGGATTTCCACCTAAGAATGAGAATGCAATCGAAAAATCAGAAGGTTCGAAATTATAGTTCTGTTTTAAATATAAATAGCACTTTTCTGTGTAATAAACAGAAATTCATCAAAAGTAACAGCTCTCAATTTTTTGACATTTGTAAATTCTAAATTGAATGAGAAAAATGAAATAATACTAAGCATAATACAATATTCTAGATTTAATTATAATTAGGAAAAAGTTAGTTTTGAGAGTACTTTTCATAGGCATATAGAATGAAATCTTCTGAAAAATAATATCACATAAACTCATATTATTTTCTAATATATAACTATTTTATATAAAAATCAAATTCAATGATCTTAAAAGCGAAGGATAAACCTCAAAATTTACGAATATAATGAGTGGGAATATAATGCTTATCTATCATAAAACCATATGAAATATCAATTTTTGCTTTACGCCTAATTTTTGACGACAATTAGCAAAAAATGTTAAATGTTAACACTCAGTCCATTTGAATATGAAAAATAAAATTGACTTTGATTAAATGTTTTTATTTATCATGCAATTCTTCTTGCGACCAAAGATTTGAATAAAAGTTCAAAAAATAAGATAGCTTAAAAAATAATATACGGTAGTGTTTACTAATAGATGAATAGTATATAAATTCTATTAAAATGGATTTGATCCAAAAAAATATAAACCAAAAATAATTGTTATAATTTAAATGAAGAAGTAATTTAAAACGATTTTATTTATGATCAAATTTTATATATTTTTTTGGATCAAATCCATTTTAATAGAATTTATATACTATTCATCTATTAGTAAACACTACCGTATATTATTTTTTAAGCTATCTTATTTTTTGAACTTTTATTCAAATCTTTGGTCGCAAGAAGAATTGCATGATAAATAAAAACATTTAATCAAAGTCAATTTTATTTTTCATATTCAAATGGACTGAGTGTTAACATTTAACATTTTTTGCTAATTGTCGTCAAAAATTAGGCGTAAAGCAAAAATTGATATTTCATATGGTTTTATGATAGATAAGCATTATATTCCCACTCATTATATTCGTAAATTTTGAGGTTTATCCTTCGCTTTTAAGATCATTGAATTTGATTTTTATATAAAATAGTTATATATTAGAAAATAATATGAGTTTATATGATATTATTTTTCAGAAGATTTTGTGTTCTTCTTCAAAATTTTATTTTTTATTAAAAAGAATCTTTACAAAATATACATTTACTTTAATTAATATTTAAAAACGTGCTCTATCAAAAGTTCCAAAAATTCAATATTTTAGCTTTTCTGAGGTGTCACTTTTGATGAATTTCTGTTTACAACATCTGAACCATAATAAGAGCAAACTTCTAAAAGATTGAATTGCATCTTAATGTTAAATAAACATTTGTTCATTTTGATATTGATGTCAAAACCTGGCTGACTGACAATATATATCATTGTTTCGAGGTCATCATTCATGATTGAATTAAATAATGATTTTGGTTTCAAAAGTTCATAGTAGTCTCTAAAAAAATCGTCTTTTATTTGCTTGTTATTTTGAATTGCTGAGATTACACCTTTGATATACTCTACATAGATATAATTTATTTTGTTATTTTCAAGACTGTTAATCAAGTCATAAAGTTTTATATATGTCATCATGTAACGGTCCCTAAAATAAAGGCATCTCCCCACCGTATTTAGAATCTCCCATGTTCTTAAATTACCCTTAATTTTTGACTTTTGCAACTTTTTCATGACCCCCTACCCAGGTATCTAAAATACCATTTATCGCCTGAAAAGCACCTTTAATTTATGCCAATTGACAAAATAAAGATATGTCTAGAATGCTGATATGATGGATAATCATGCTGCATCATTATTGGCCAGCAATATATAATATTTAAGAAATCTACGAGATTATCTGATTTCATGAAACTCAATGTATACTAAGTTTCAGACTTTGAAATTTTAACATGTTGATATGGGTACATAGGGTTTATGATTCCAGTCATTTATTTAAAAAATTACAAAAATGAATTAATATGATGTGAGTAACAATGGTAATAAACGCTTAATTACTAATATATTATTTCTTGGTAGGAATGAAATGTTTTGGTGACATTTATAGAAGTTAAGCTGAGAATCAAAAATGCAAAAATTATTTTAAATATTACAAGCATTATTTGATGTCATTGAGTTTAGAGTCGTGTAGATATATGAGTACAATATGTTATTGATGTATATATGCAATAATTGTGAAAATGAAATGTGAATCTCAAGATGAGTTGCATGTTACTGCGCTATAATTTGAATTCAATACGTACATAACATTACTAAATGTATTTTAAGATAATACAAAAAATTAAGCTTGCAAAAAGATATCGAAATGTAATTTTCATTAGATTCAAAGTTCTGAATAGATTTTGATTTTAACTATTGATGAGTTTGTCAAACCTCTATAATAATAGAATGTAGAACTAATTAAATATAATTAATAAAAAAATACAAATTTAAGTGATATTATAAGAGATATATGTGATGTTACCAATATGATATGATATTGGAGAACTGATAGAATTGTGATGTGAGACTAAATATGATTTTATTATGAATAGGAGAATAATATTAGAAGAATTTCTTGAATTTAATGTATCTGAATATGTAATTGGGCATATATTCTATATATATATTGGTAGGTTAACTAGAAATAAGAAGATGAAAGATTGTTAATGAATAATATGAGATTAAGCGAAAATATATTGTTCTAATAGATGAGTGTTGAGATCCAATATATATGAAGAGGGATATGTGAGAGGAAATATGTATATTTAATAAAATAAGCGATGAGAGAAAAAATAACAAAGATTTATATGAAATTTTGAGTATTGAAAAAGCTCGATTAGTGATTTTATGTCTGTTAAAGGAATAGATATTCTAGGAGAAAGATAAATTGAATTAAAGAAGAATAAAAAAAGTTGATTAAGATTGATAAAAATATTGAATTGTATGACAATGGAAAGAAGGAATAAATTGGTGTTGGTATGACGGTATCATTTCGGGAGACATTGCCTCTGCATGTCTCCCAGAATGAGACAATCTTCTGCAATCAGAATGTGATTGCAAAACTTTGACCGACAAGAGTGTATTGTGCACTCCTGTCGGTCGCAGTGTCTCATTCTGGGAGACATTGCCTCTGCATGTCTCCCAGAATGGAACAATGTTCCGCATTGATAACTTGAACGCGGAAGTTTGACCGACAAGAGTGTATTGTGCACTCCTGTCGGTCGCAGTGTCTCATTCTGGGAGACATTGCCTCTGCATGTCTCCCAGAATGGAACAATGTTCCGCATTGATAACTTGAACGCGGAAGTTTGACCGACAAGAGTGCATTATCCAATCTTTTTTGTCATATACCTCAACCCACAAAGACAAAACCTTACATAAAATAGGTAAACTTTGGTTTTCACTTAATAATGTTTATTTTTAATTTTTTGTTCTTTATATAACTTTTTCTTCTACTAAACTATTTTACAGACTCTACTGAGCTATCCTCACATATATACCTGTGACAATAACACATATATACTCCCTTCATATTCTGATCTCATGACATATTACAGCACAAACTATAATTATACAACATACCTCATAAAGTCTGATTTTACCCATATCTAAGCGTTCAAAACCTATTTTCCCCGCGTAATCTGATTCTTCTGGCTCTGCTGATTCGATTTCTGCTGTCAGATCGTGAAAATATGCATCACACAATGAGATAAACACAAAATACACAACTTAATATTTTCCTTAAAATTGTCAATTCCTCGATCTTGACATATTTATTATTTCCTCCGTTTTCCCTCACAAATATATTTAATTTTCTGAATAAGACGTATAATAAAATGAATATCTTAAAAACTAAAATACAAAATTAATGTTGGGTAATGACTAGATATAGTATGCACTTTTGAATTCATACATATTTTGAAAAAATTGTATTTTCAAAAAAAGATGTTGTTTCAGTATGAACTTGAAGAGAAATTTTAAGGAAAATATTAAGTTGTGTATTTTGTGTTTATCTCATTGTGTGATGCATATTTTCACGATCTGACAGCAGAAATCGAATCAGCAGAGCCAGAAGAATCAGATTACGCGGGGAAAATAGGTTTTGAACGCTTAGATAGGGGTAAAATCAGACTTTATGAGGTATGTTGTAGAATTATAGTTTGTGCTGTAATATGTCATGAGATCAGAATATGAAGGGAGTATATATGTGTTATTGTCACAGGTATATATGTGAGGATAGCTCAGTAGAGTCTGTAAAATAGTTTAGTAGAAGAAAAAGTTATATAAAGAACAAAAAATTAAAAATAAACATTATTAAGTGAAAACTAAAGTTTACCTATTTTATGTAAGGTTTTGTCTTTGTGGGTTGAGGTATATGACAAAAAAGATTGGATAATGCACTCTTGTCGGTCAAACTTCCGCGTTCAAGTTATCAATGCGGAACATTGTTCCATTCTGGGAGACATGCAGAGGCAATGTCTCCCAGAATGAGACACTGCGACCGACAGGAGTGCGCAATACACTCTTGTCGGTCAAACTTCCGCGTTCAAGTTATCAATGCGGAACATTGTTCCATTCTGGGAGACATGCAGAGGCAATGTCTCCCAGAATGAGACACTGCGACCGACAGGAGTGCACAATACACTCTTGTCGGTCAAACTTCCGCGTTCAAGTTATCAATGCGGAACATTGTTCCATTCTGGGAGACATGCAGAGGCAATGTCTCCCAGAATGAGACACTGCGACCGACAGGAGTGCACAATACACTCTTGTCGGTCAAACTTCCGCGTTCAAGTTATCAATGCGGAACATTGTCTCATTCGAGGAGCCCTCGAAAAGAACCTCACATCGACTCTCTCTTTCCGGCATCTTTACCGCATAGAAAACTGCTCGTTCGCAACTTTGTGTGCAATCTAAGAGATGATTGCGGTAAAGATGCCGGGAAGATTGATGCTGCAGCCCCAGGCCGCACTCAGATTTCATCCCGCTACACAATTGTTCATCCAACAACTGTCATAGAGGTTGAAATTTTCGACCAGAAGTGAAACATATCATTTTTAAGACTGCGGCGCGCAAGCAAGTTTGAACCTTTCAAGGGTGATCAGTCCTTTACTCATTTCAAGACCTCTTGTTGCCTGATAAAACGATACTTCCTTCCTTGTGGGCCATTGAAAACCGCCCAAGCCGTCACAACTTGCTTCCTAAATTTTATTTGCGGAGTAATTATCATGCATATTTTATCGGATAATAATATCAAAGCTAAATTTCATATTATTTTTTAAAGATATGCATTTTCTGTCTAAATTTATTTTTTCTGTTTCCAATTCACGGAATAATATTCTTACAAGCATATACATAGCTAATATATATCATTTTAATAATAATAAAACCAAAATGATGTATTCTTCATATAGTTATTTAAAATTCGTTAACTAGAATTGTATTCAGAACGAGGCAAAGTTAGGAGATACATAAAAACCAATAACTTGATAAGTGATACCTTTTTTCCTGATATATCTATATGTGTTAATGTCAAACACGATTTGGAAAAATTAATTCTTTAAATCGGCTTAAGAATAAGACCAACATCAAAAGCATGGCTAATAAATTAATAAATCAATGTTTAATTACCGATTCATGCATTTTTTTCAAAATTTCAAATTTCAAATTTTTGTTTCTCCAAAATATTAATTGTTTCCACAAGATTAACAAATAAACAATAAATTGGATTAATGTAATGCCCAATCATTCATTTTAAATTTTAGATTTAAAACAATATTTTTCTCCATATTATTATAACATGAATCGCTATGATATAAGAAATATATTTTCAATATTGAAATTGAAAAATTCTCAAATTTTTGAAATTCAATTTGAGTGTGATGATCGATAACATATATTTTTTAATTAAAATCTTGTGTCACTAGCATATAAATATACTATTTCTAAATTAAAAATAGAAAGAAAAGTACTATTTAATGATGAAATTGCAAATAATATCAATATATATATATTCATGCTGATATATTTTGGGAACAGATTGGCAAGCACATAAATAGGATTGTGTTAGTTTGTCATGGATATAAAACAAATTTTCGAGCTAATTGAGCGAATTTAAATCACAAACACTTATATTTTCTATTACAAGGTATATTTGTAATATACAACCAGTAAATAGCTTTCTCTAACTTTTACCAGCTTAGATGATAGCAAATTAGATACGAATTTCATGACCCCTCACCAAATTCCACTAAAACATATACAAATAAAAGTACTAAGTGGGTATCATCTAACCCTAGAATTATAGCTCCTAGGACTCATCCTAGATGGTAGTTCTGGAAAAACACCTGGTTTTTGGAGTTGCAAAAGTTAAAAATTGAGGGTATATTTCTTCAGTAAGATTTCTTTAACTTTGATAAAAGTGCTTTCTACATTGTCATCTGTGAGTTGATGTATACTTCTCATTACATCAATATAATCAGCATATGTTCTAATTAAATCAGCTCCTTTGAATTCCTGTGTAATGTCTTGATTCATTGCCATAATAATATATATTTTTTTTTGGAAAAAAAACATCTTTTTTTTAATTTTTAATCATAACTATTAATCTAACTAGAAATTGCTACTACATTCATTTTATACACAATTCAATTTTTTTCCACAATTCATTTTTTTTCCCACAATTCATTTTTTTTTCCACAATTCAATTTTTTTTTACAAAGTGAAAAATCCGGAATATAATTCGAAGAGATATTTGGTAAAAATAATTAAAGCAATATCAGATACCGTAGCTTTTAAATGCTATGTCATAGTTTGAAACGATATTATCAAATTCTCATTTAATAATTAAGATGAAGCTGAAACAAATCAATATTTTTCATTTCTTAAGTGCATAATGCTATCTTTTAAAAAAATCAATAGCCTATTTTCGATAAGATTATTTTGAAATTTTTATTTATTCGAAAAAATATAGAAATTGGGAAATACAATAGCATCGAATTTTCAAACCTAAGTTTTCGGCAGTCTCTGGTTTTAAGGAAACATCAAAAACTAAGAAATCAAGACAAGATGATTCCTTAATCTTTGATTTGAAAATCGAAATGTGTTCCTTGCTCAAAACCAACAAAATCTTCTTGTAAGAAATTTGTTAATTAAATCACCGTTGATATTGCTTGGAAATATATAACAAGAATAGCATTAAAGGCTCACTAATGCATTAGTTTATCAACTTAAATGTACTTTTTCTCTATGATAGAATTGATATTTTTATGAATAAACGCAAATATGGCATATATTAATCATACTTTATCTTTTCATTGTTTCAAAATATAAAAATCTAAAAAAATGATCTCTTGAAAAAGACTCAAGTGGGTAATCCTCCTTTAAAAAAAAATTCAAAAGTTGATAATTTTTTGAGTATTTTAAATAGAATAGATAATGAACAAATAATCCAAATTAAATTATCAGTTCTTATGTGAAATATAGTATTCAGCAACACCTTCTGAAGCGTAAGCATCGAAGAAATGAGGTCCTTCAGCTTCCTGTTGCAATTCTTGTGCATGTTCGAGTATAAAAGCTCTGAATCCTTCTGCGGCCGCAATTAATTCCGAATCTGACACTTTTTGTGTCTCCAATTCGCACATTTCGGTCAGTTTCTCGTAGAACTTTACACCGTGTGGAATTGTTTTTGCGATTACGGCGTTGTATTTCTGGCGTTCGCCGTTGTGGTCTCCTGTGATTGGCATCATTTGTCCGGCGAAGGCGAGGAGCTTCGTGAATACCAGAACTTTCGACAAAACCTTCGGATCCATGCCATCGCGATTTGGATCTGTCATTTCAATGAACAAGAAGCGAAGCATGAAGAGGGCAAAGCACGAGCGGTGGTTCATCTCGGGTGTTGAGAACTCGTGCTCTGATAAAATACGAAGGGAACGAAGAGTTCTGCGAATTGAGGGTTGGAGAAGAGGAATTGACTCTGTAAGGGTATCCCAGACGCTTACAAGAAGGTTCTCGACAGTTTCGAGGTCTTTCTCAGTTGGTTTGTCGTAGGACCAGTTTGGAGCGGAATTTATTATCTTCAAAAGCTTTGGAATTGTAACACTGAAGTAGTTCTTACTTACGTGCTTGAAGTAGAAGAGGATTCCGCGAATATAATGGTTGTTTTGCCTGAAAATTTCATTTGATTTTCCTGTTCTACGGAGTTCTGTGCAGGCAAGGTACTTAAGGAGACGAAGGATGGCACCTTGGCTCTGGAAGAGTGTAATAACATCGAGGAATTGCTTGTTTGGATCAGTTGGGAAAATTGTGTATAAATGCTTGATGAAAGAAGTATCGCAGTGGGAAACCATGTATGCGATAGCTTTGGCTGATTGAATATTAAGCTTTTCTTGGAATTCTTGAAGAGAATTGATGATTAATTTTGTTGGCGTTACAGATTTATCAATAAAGTTGTATAAAAGCTGGACCGAGGCTTTATGCTGGATGGTTATGTATTTGCCGTTCTCAAGAGTAATCGTTATTACTGTATTTGAAACATTCATGTCTTTATACGTCGAAACTTCACCAGATGGGAATGAAACGACAGTGTTATTCTGAGCAACAAGTAAGAAATTGCCTTTTTGGCCGTTAAAATCATGTTGGACAGGGATAACGAATGAATATATTGAATCCGTTGAAGTAAAGAACTTCATTGCTAAGTTAACAAACTTTTCTTTGTTCTCAGGAGACGTATAGAACCTTGAACTCGTATTCATTTTGAGGAAATGGTCAAGAGCGCCTTCAAGAATTTGTTTTGAAGCTTCAGACATTGAACCGAAAGCTTCTTTGAGATTACCACATGAAATCTGGTAAACCTGTTTGGGTGTGAAGATCTGGCTGAGAACTAATTTGAATAACTGAATTATTTCCGCACTGTCTTGAGGGATTTGCTTTGGTACAAGAAGAACGTGGCGTGGTGTACAATAAATATCAGTTTGCTTTTCTTCATGAACCTTCATTACAAGCTCAAGTAACTGTTGAAATGTCAGATTATCATCTAAAATGTTTGTTTTGAGATTTGATTGGAAATTATTAATTGGATTTGTTGCTGGCTGGTTACCAGGATGTACAAAGGAGCCTTCTAATATGAACGGAATACTTCCAGACATAATATCAGCTAAAAAAAAATTATTTACTTTTCTAAAAGTGTCAATCCAATTCAAATATTAAATTCTTTTCAAAAATGTTTCCGGTTCCTCCTCAAAAATTGTTAAGTTTCTGTTATTTACACGGAAATATTAAAAGATATAAAATCAATAATTTCTCATGACACATGATAATACTGATCTTATATAACAGACTCTTCATTTTAATTTAGTATCATCAATACAACCAAGTTATCAGATTAAATGCTTCCTAACATGATGATTTGAAGATTTCCTAATTATATTGTCCATTTACAGCTTTATTCTGATCCAAATTACTTCAGTATTCAATTATCTTTCAAATCTCTATGTGATTATTAAGATACTTCTAAATATACAAAGATTTATCTGGGATAAAGCAACAAAAGAGTGTTTTGTGCGTATTTTGAAACAAATTAAACTACTCATAGTAGGGTGATGTGTTACTACTTCTATCCTACAATAGCTAGGATATTTTAGTTATCGAAATATGAAATAGTTTGAAAAATGCTTGTATTTTTGATGGGGTGATCTTTTATGATGAGTTAAACTTATTTTACTGTTTTGATTTCTTAGATAAAGATCATGAAAAGATTTTTATTAATGTTACCGTTTTCAAAAGAAATATTTGAGTTTATTCAATAGTTTATACGGAATAATTATTAAAAAGTCCTAATATATGCTAAATGACTAGTTTAACAATAACCAGACAAGCGAGGAAAATAAAATTACTCCTTCTTGAGCTTCATTGCTTCGGCGACGGCCTTCTTGAGGATTGGGATAGCAACAGCGATATCCTGTGGTGGCTTGCAGAATGAAAGGCGGAAGAAGCCTTCCTTAGCGAATGCAGAGCCTGGAACGACGATGATGAAGTTCTTGGCGAGGCACTCGCAGAAGTCCCACTCTGGGATGCCATCTGGGATCTTCGGGAAGATGTAGAAAGCACCTTCTGGCTTGATGTACTTAATTCCGCACTCATCGAAAGCCTTGCAGATCATATTGCGGGATTCGTTGTAGAGGTGGATGTCTGATGTGTTTGGAACAACCTTTGGAATGATTCTCATGTGGAGACGGTTGGCATGGACGAAGCCCATGATTTCGTTTGCATGAGCAAGTGAGTGAACAAGGAGCTTGTAGTTCTGAAGGAGTGGGTTGACGATGATGCAGCCGATACGCTCACCTGGGATTGAAAGATCCTTGGAGAGAGAGTATGCGACGATGGAATATGGGTAAACGTTGAAGATCTGGTGGTGCTTGGCGCCTGGAGCGAGGACACGGCAGTAAACATCATCGGAGATGACGTAGATTGGGCGGCCGTATTCCTTGGACTTGCGGTCAAGAACTTCGCACATCTTGTTGACTGTATCCTGAGAAAGGAGTGTGCCTGTTGGGTTGTGTGGGGAGTTGATGATGATAGCACGTGTCAATGGTGTGATGACTTCCTCGAGCTTTGTTGGATCGATCTGCCAGTTGTCTTCGAATGTTGTGTCGAGGACTTTGACTGTAGCGTGCCAGTTCTCTATGTAGAATGGATATTCAAGGAAGTATGGAGCTGTAAGGATGACTTCATCTCCAACGTTGAGGATTGTTCTGAGAGCAACGTTGATAGCGCCTGCGCAGCCAGAGGAAAGGATAATGCAGTCAGCATTGATCTTTACACCCTGGATCTCACTGAATAAGTCAGCAAGAACTTGGCGTGGCTTCTCATCACCTTGTGTTGATGAATAGCCGTGGCAAAGAGGGATTTCTTCGGCGGCAATTTCCTTAAGGGCTTCTGTGTAGGCCTTTGGTGGTGGAACACGTGGGTTTCCGATTGTGAAATTGTGGATTTTATCAGCGCCATATTCCTTGGCAAGCTGCTGGGCGAGGTTATCCATCTTGCGGATGGCTGAACCACCGCTGGAGCATTTAAGCATGTATGGAGAAAGCATCTTCTTCGAAAGTGAAAAGACGGTTATCCAAAAAACCGTCATTTTTGAATTCATCGTTTTGGTGGATTGAAATATTATGATTATATTCTTCTCAAATAGTTAAATATCGGCATGAATCAAAAAGTCCTTAGTTGTACTACTAATTCTAATAATGATTAGTTGATGTGAAAACATCGTAAAAGTGACATATTTGTCACAATGTATTTCTCCCAAATCAATTGAAATTACATCAATGCGTATTCTCAAAATTTTATATCATTTTTCATATTTGAAATATGGATGATACCTATTTCAAAAATATAGAAAATAGAAATTGAATTTACAAAGGTCAGAAAAAAAAGCAATCCTCATTTCAAAACGATCACCATCATGAAAAACATGTTGCATATATCTAGAAATAATGCGTGAGGCTTTTCTAATACAATCATAAATCATTTTGATTCATTATTTCTAATTACACTTTCACAAAATTAGCATCAAACGACTTAATTAACGCATAAACTGTCTTTCTAGACTTCGCAGTATCCATGTTAATCCTAGACTACTCTTTTTTCAATCTTAATCTTCACGAATGAACTGAATTAAGGGGAAACTCAAGAGTTCAATTTATTGGAGATCAAAAATGTCATTATCAACTGTAGTAAATGTATTTAACGTATCAAAAATGATTATAGCCTCGGTTTTTTGATTATTGGAATATCAATCCATCTCGATCACAGATAAATGTGCTTGATTTGACTACTACATCGAAATGAAAAGCTGATACATTGATTAAATTTTGAAAAATGCCTTTATGATGATCAATTTGAATTGAAAGATCATTTTTATAGCATAACATCGATGTATCTCGTCAGTATCAAACTAATATGCAAGGTTACAATGTTAAAATCTATTACTTACCCATAGTTAATTATATCGTCTCTTTTTTTATCTTTTGCATCCCTTTCATTCATTAATGAAGACGTTCTAGTGGCATACATTTTATAGGTTTTTGGCCATGCTAAGAAAATAAACATCATCCCGAGATGATATAGCTTAATATTGCTTTAATTTCAATTATTGAGATAGGCATTCTTAAGCTTAGTTTATATGAATTAAGAATAGAAACATTCAATAATAATAAAACACAAAATGAAAAAAATAACAAAATTCCAAAATTAGTAAAATTTCATACTGAGAATAAAGAGGAAAATGTCAATATTAATGAAATCAAAAGTAATACCTTTTTGCAACTTGTGTCCATTTGACGGCCAAAAGTTATGTCCATCAACATTTTCGGTTTCTCAGAAAATCGAAAATTTTTGGAAAAAAATATTGTCGAAAATTTTGCGGTTTGAATTTGAGTTCACTTACGATGGAGACATCACTAGACGCCGTCTTCAACACCTTTATTGATACTAATTTTGATCCCCCACCACAATCTAAAACTAAGAAGAGGGAACCTCATACAAAATCTAAGCAAAAATTTACGCCAGAGGAAGACCAAATAATAATTGAGCAAGTTAATAAAAATGGTCAGAAATGCTGGCGTCATATTGCTGAACATCTTCCCGGTAGGACGGCGAGACAATGTCGTGAAAGATGGGTAAATTATCTTTCTCCTAATGTCTCCCGCGATCCTTGGAATAAGCATGAAGACGACCTTCTTGTCCGTCTTGTTTCCGAGTACGGCCAACAATGGTCAAGAATCTCATCCAATTTCCCATTAAGGACCGATGTGATGTTAAAGAACAGGTGGTCTTATTTAAAGCGCCGTGTTCAGCCTCAAGCTGAAAACACTTCTAGTGTAAGTGTTCAGCAAGAGGTATTGCTTCCAACACCCGCAGTCTCTGAAAGCGGACAAATCTCATTGGACATTGCCCAAGCTGCTAATGTCTGGGCCGATAATGAGGAGTACGCAGATAATTTGCCATTCTGCGACTTCGCTTATTACGAGATCTGAATGGGGAACGGAAGAATGGAGGGAAAGGATCAGAATTGCGGGCTGAAACCCGCGTGGATGCTGAAACATCCACATAGTTGATCTAATTCCTCCATCTTTTAATTAAATTATTTGTTTAAATTTTTTTACGTCAATCAAACAAGCTTTTTTTAACTATCGTCAATCATATCTTGCAAGCATTTAAAAGTAAAAAGATATCAAAGCGAGAGTTTCTTTTCGATATTTTAATAATCAAAGAAATTCTTAAACCTTTTAAGCATTTCTAGTGAAAGTAATGTATCTATTATAGCTGGGATTTGAATGCATTTAACTACGCTTTCTAAAAAGCTTGAAATAAATTCAATCATTTTTATAAAATGTTTGTATTTGTTCTATCTATATGTATTCATACCAATATCGCACACTGTAAATTTAATCAAATGATTGAATTCTAAAGTACATGGTTTCATAATAATGCCTCAATAGAATGAAATTTTACAGTTTTAAAGACAAAAAGCAATAGATATTGTTGAGATAGATGGACCAGAACTCCATTCCAATGAACGAAATATGATTCATTATATTTTAGGGTTCATAAACCATTCAAAAAGGGATTTTCAAAAGGTTAATTTAGGCGATAATTAAGCCATAATCATAGTTCATATCATACGCATTAAATATTTCAATAAATTTCATTAAGATTTTTTTGCCATAAAATTTTTTTCCTTAGAAATTGAAATATCGAAGCATTGGTTTTAATTTGAATAGTTTACATCATCGACTTGAATAATAATGTTGCACAATATGTTCCAAATATAAAAAACCAAAATCTTCTGTTTCTTTGAATTTTAACAGTTTTCAAATCAATAATTAAAAATGAAGTTTGGAAAGCAAATTAGGTTTGTCGCAGTTAAAGCCTGGTACGACAAATATGTTGATTACAAGAAGCTCAAGAAGGTTATCGCTCAAGGCAGAGAAAACCTTTTTGAAGCTCATGATAATGGCGCTCTCATGGCCGAAGTAGAGACAATGAAGGAAACCTTCTTACAGGAATTTTTCAAGAAACTCTACAAAGACTTGAATGTTGTCACTAGCTTCTACTCAAATGAATACGTTGAATGCCAAAAATTGATTGATGAGATTAACATTGATATCAAAGAACATGTAGAGTTTTCAAACAGAGACGAAGACACTCAAAAGTCTTTCCTCAAGCGCGTTTTCGGTATCACACTTGAAGTTTACGAATTAAGAACCTTCCTTGAAGTCAACCGCACAGCAGGACAAAAGATCGTCAAGAAGATCAAGAAGAACTTCGGAAACTCACATTGGGCCGAAGATTTCATCATTAATGAGGCAGATATTTTCCTTAATCTTCCAGAGATCAGAAACCTTATCAATGAGCTCGAAGATCAGTACATTACAGTTGTTCGTGAGATTTCTCTTACTCCAGATACAAGACCACGTCCAGAAATCATTCTTGAGTTACATAACAAGGTTGATGCAACAATGGCCTGGAAGCAATCGACAATTCTTCGTGATTTCAACGCTATCGACTTCCGAAAGTCCGAATTATCTGCTGTTTCTCAGCCAGTCAAATTAATTCCTTTAATTATCGCTTTTGTTTTCCTTATCGTATTCTCCGTCGCTCAATTTACCTCGAAACTTAAATACTCCGCCCAGAAATGCATCGGTGTCATCGGATTCTGTGCAATTTTGTGGGCTACAGGCGCTGTTCCGCTTTGGCTTACATCTCTTTCGATTCCTCTCCTAGCTGTTGTTCTCAAGGTCATTACAGGATATACGCCGGCCGACCTTGGTAAACTTATTCAATCTGCTACGATGAGTCCAACTGTTTTCCTTACAATGGGTGGCTTTACTATCGCTGCTGCACTTAGAGCAACAGAAATGGATAAGAGAATTGCCTCACTCGCCCTCAAAAAGGCTGCATCGAATGCCAGAATTTTCTTATTAGTTTGTTCACTTCTTAATGCATTTATCGCTATGTGGATCTCCAACATTACATCAACAATGATCGTTGTTACTCTTGTTGGCCCAACATTACGTCAAATTCCTCGAGATTCGAATTACGCACGCGCTGTTGTCCTTTCCATCGCTCTTGGAGGCAACTTAGGCGGTATGATGACACCTCTTTCATCTCCACAGAACGCCGTCACTGTACAAGCTGTTGCAGATGCATCCAAGGCATTTAACATCAAAGCTAGCGTTTCCTTCACCGAATTCTTTGCTACAGCACTTCCTTTCTCTATTATATGCGCTCTCATTGCTTGGGTGATCATCATGTTCAAGTATCCAATTGATATCCAAGGAGTTCCGCCAATTCCTGAGTCAAAGACCGATTTCGGATGGCGCCAGATCTTTGTATCCGTTGTATCCGTTGCCATCATCATTGTTTGGATTTGTCTTCCTTTTGGAGCAGAAAAAGTATTTTCTGACTACGGCATTGTTGGTTTCCTTCCAATGATTATTTTCTACGGCGTCGGCATCCTTCCTCCATCAAAAATTGCTGAGTTGCCATGGAACATCATCTTCCTTCTCATGGGTGGTAATGTTCTCTCTAAGATTGTCCAGACAAGTGGTCTCATGGATGTTATTTCCAACGCAATGACTGATTTACTTGGAAATCAGACACTTTGGGTAACAATTTTGATTGTCAACATTTGTGTTATTGTCATCGATTTCTTCTTGACACACACTGTTTCGTCAATGATTACTATGCCTCTTGTTGCAAACTTCGCAGGAAAAAGAGGTGGTCACATCGCTTTGTTCTGTATGTGTGGATGCATGGCAACAACAGCAAGCCAGATACTTCCTGTTTCGTCATTCCCTAACATGTGCTGTGTCTCTCTAACTGATGATACAAAGAAGGAGTACATCTCTAGTGGTTCTTTCATTAGATGGGGTATAATGATCACTGCTGTACTCTTCGCATGCGTTATGACAGTCTATTATGGCATTGGCATAGCTTATGGAATGTAATATGCAAATCAAAGCAATATTATAGTAAAATTTAAATTAAAGAAATAAATTTTTTACTTCTACTTGAAAAACAACTATATTTTACTTTTAGAAATGAGTTTTTCCTCTCATTTGAATGAGAATTCGATCAATCATAGGTTTCTCGACCATTTATTGGCCAAAGAATAATAATAGGAAGATATTTTAAAGAATCTGTCTCTTGAAGACTGTTGATATGTTGAACTTGAAAATTTAAAAAAGGGATGACACTTATGAGAGTTTTGAACGGCATTAGCCAGCAAAAAGATCAAAAGAATGATATCAAAATATGATCGGCATATATTCAAACTCATGGCAGAAAGGCAAAAAAAATTGTTGATGCAGAAGAAGTGATTTAGCTCCCAACATGATCGCCTTAGCTTATATGCTCGTTCTATGAAATAAACTGGCCTATAATTGCATAAATTCTAAAAAATAGAATTAGAATGATAAATTAGAAACAATATCTTTGGATTTATAACATGTATTGAATTAGAAATGAATTTGTTTCGGTTACTATCTGAATTCAAAAAAATAAATATAGGCATCATTATTTCACTTCAATAAATAGATGATATCACATATTGCTTCATGTTTTCTATCTTAATTAATTATATGGGCTATGTTGTATTGATTTAATTCACTTAAAGATTTTAATGAGTGAAAATAATTTTTTAATAGAGGTAAAGGAAATTCAAATCTTAGGACGGAATCATAATTTTTGTGATATTATTGAATAATGCTCATACTTCGAGACGAGTATGAATAGAACGGATAATTGGACCGAGATTTGATACTTTGCAGATTTCTTCATGAATCGTAAGTAGATACATATGATCGTATTCCTCTGTGAATGCACGATAAATGAATTTCATAAGTGTATCACGCTCTTCATCTGTTAATCCTTTGATTGTGGCAGGAAGTTTTGCTTTGTCGATTGACAAAACAATTGTGAGAACTGACTTTGCGGCTGCATTCTTTGCATCTTCGTATAGTTTCTGGCCTTGTGGTGTTTTAATTCCATCAGGACTTGCTTTCTTTTCGCGAACTGGCATTTCTTCGAGAACTAATTTAAGTGCTTCAAGTGGATTTGTCCTAACCTTTGTCTGTGCATCATTGAGTTTAGCCTCTAATTGCTGTGCGTAAGACATTTTAATTAATTTTTATGATTTTCAATAAAATTTTGAAAACAAAACATTTGCTTACATGTATTGGTTAATATTTTAATAAAAATTTTATTGATTGACTTCACTTAATATTTCATTTCATTTTCAACAAAATTAGCACGCATTCTAGATTTATATTGTTTTTTGTATTATCATTCTGTATTTACTGTGAATGATAGAAATACTTGATTTTAATTTTTCAACAATTTTATTATGGCGTCTAATAAGCAAATCCTCGGGTAACTTTGATATACATGCCTAATTAATTAACAATTTTGGTAAATAAATACATAATATAGGAAATTTAAAATTGGTGATTTTATTCACTTAGATTATGATTTATATTCAAAATATATTGGACCATAGATTAGGAAAAGAAAAATTCCTTAAATAGAATCAATTTGCTTAATGTAAGATTAATCTCTAAATGTTGATTTTATATCAAATTCTCTATATAGAAGACCTAGCTTGCGACACTATGCTGATACTGTATATATGTTTATGTTGATACTGTATATATGATATGTAAATATGTATATATTTCTAAAAAATGCAAATCAAAATGGAAAAAAAAATCAAGATAGCTGGGATATCCAAGCTTTTCCGTGTATCAAAAATAAATACATTTAAAACTAAAAACAAAATATATATAAAAAATTACAAAAATCTCAATAAAAATTCTATTAAAATTAAAATAAGATCCGGAGCAGCCAAAGAAACTTGGCACAAGGAAATCAAGAACATAATGATCGAGTCAACAAACTTCGAAGGGAACTCTTTCACAGCAGTTTTGATCATTGTGAAAGCCGTGATTACTGAAGTAACAGTAGTAGTTACGTACCAATTAACCATTTCAAATGGTTCTGGATTATCAGGTAATGGCTCCTGTCCGCAAATAGAATGTCCCGAAGATGATATATAATACAGTAAAGAGTGCAAAATGTAAATTCCGACTTTGATGTATCCGATGCACTTCTTGTAAGTTGATAAATTCTTGTTTTGGAGACCAACTTTTTTGATGGATTTCATGATCGATCCAAAACATTCTGAGTTCAACAAAAACTGGAGAACGAGAGGTTTGAACATCATGAAGTCTGTCTTTTCAAATGGATTCCAAATATTATTTGTCTCTATCAGAGGCTTTCCCTTCAAATCAACCGACAATTTGCCAAATGATGGGATCATGCTCAATAATGGATGCATCACAGTGTCTCGTTTATTGACACATTTAACACTTAGTTTTCCAGCTGCAATCTTCAAGTGTTTGATAGCGAAGAACTCGATCAACTCTATTATGTCGACAGACATTTCTGGAGTGAATGTAACATATGAATTCTGTAACATTATTTTCGAAAGAGGAGATCGAGATTTCTCAATGATTGGAGTGTTTATTTGCATTTTAACTGTTCTTGCTCTTGATCTCTCGTTTATATCAGTAAGGAATGTGTTATGAGACCAAAATTCTCTGAATATGATCTCGAGAATTGATACATCCAAAGAGACTGAGCAATCTCCAATAACAATGTCGATTTCATCAATTGTTGGTGGCTCGCAAAGTGAAGCATTAAGTTCAAGAATTGGAGAACTCATTGTGTTGATAACTCGATGATTTTTACGTGCAATAATATCGAAATTATCAACACAAACATTCACAGTCATCAAGCCATTTTTGGCAACAACATCAAGAGAAAGTGAAGTCAAAACTCTGCAAATTTCATGCATGTAAGAATCATTAACAACTAACTCTGTCTTTCCGAGATTACAATTGATTTTTCCTGTGAAATTAATTCTCTTTGAAACAGGAGGAGGCGAAACAAGATGAAATGTAACTTGTCTTTTTGATTTGCATGGATCAATGATTGGATATAATTTGCTATTATAAATTATTGTTGTTACATCACCTGTTTTCTTCACTTTCTTCTTCAAAGCAATCGTCTGCATCGAAATAGAATCAAGTTTGCATTCCGGTGGAAGAAAACTGATATTATTTGACAAAATCTGACAAATATTTGTTCCAAGCAATAAGTATCTAATTGTGTTCGATGTGTTGTTCTTCAATCTGTATCTGGATGAAATTTTCAGAGTAGAATTTTCGATACAAAGTGCTATGGAACCTCCTAATTTGCCAGAAAAGTCAAATGCTTTGTAAACATTTGAAAGTGACCTCACATCGACCGATAGAGCTCTATCATCATCGGTTCTTATGTCAATTTTGTCGATGAATTCGCAACTTCTTTGGAAATAAGTTGCATTCTTTTTGACATAAAATTTTCCATTGATCATCATGTCTATTGTTGTATTATTTGTTATTCTCAAGAAAGGAGGAGCAATGTGTGTTGTATCAAGCAAAGAAACAAAACTAGCAATGTGAAGTGGTGAAACAATGCATTTCAAGCCATCTAACAATTCAACATTGATTATTTTGTTCAAAAGATCAAGATTTCCTTCGAATTTGCCACTGATTGAATCCATATGTTCAAAAGGTGACAAAGCGGTTATAATGTCAAAAGCAGTTGAAACAGCGAAGTTGTAGATGTCAATTTCCATTTCTTTGAGAGTCATTAATAGCGAGAAAGGTCCGAAAGATGTTGATGACTGTGTTCTCAAAGAAACTTGCGTTGAATCAACTTTTATGCCAAGTTTTCTTCCAAAATCATTAAATTTGATGTTTGGAATTTTGATTGTTGGAAGCAAATCTTCTGTTGCAAGTTGTACGAGTCTCAGCAATTGCCACAAAGAGAAGTTGACAAAGACATCTTTCGAGAAACACGTAATGTTTTTGTCTGTGTATACTTCAGCAATTGGAATTTGAATGATATCTTGGCGATCCAAAGAAACTAAAATGTTTTTGACCGTTGATGTCACTTCGAATTTTTCGAAAGAAATCGATCCTGTCATTGAGAACTGACAAGTGATTTCATTTTCTGGCAATCTGAGATGCAAAATGAAGTTGTCGAGCTGGCATCCTGCTGTTATATCTGATGGAATAATGAACTCCAAATTTGCAATTTGGTTTATGATTTTGATGAATTTTGAAGGGTCGACAAAACTCTCCAAATTCAACAATGTTGCGCCAAACTTTCTGTTGAATAAATCCAATTCTAGATTTATATCATTTGGACCGTTTTTGACAACAACATAAGGCATCTCAATTTTCGAAAGAGAAAGTAAACATTTGAAAACATTCTCTGCGATTCTGACGTCCAAACAAACATCACTGAGATAGAAATCATCAAAAGCAATCATGTTCTTGATGTTAAACACAATGTTGAATTGAATGGTTTCTGGGAAAAGTGACATTGGTTGATACCAAGTCAAAAAGTCATTGACCAAAACATTGTTCAAATTCGGAATGATTTTTTCGAAGTTCATGATCAAATTCACTTTCTTCTCGAAGAAAAGATATCCTTCATTCAGTTCCGCGTTGTTCAAGAAATCAATTTTGTTAACATAAAATTGAGAGCAACCGCTAAACTTTATTTTATCGTCAGCCAATTGACCTTTCATCATGCAACATGAATAGATCACACTTGTCTTTTGATAACTGAAATCGATTATCAAATTGTTGACAAACAAATCTAATGTTGGCAATCCGCATGTCATTGAGTAACCATCGAAGAACTTTTTCGGCATCAAGTTGAAGAGGTTGAAGAACTTGATGTTGACGAGTTCCGCGCTCAATGTCGAATGGAAATCTTTGTCAATTGAAATTGCAATTTTTGTCACTTTTAAGTTCTCTGTAATTGTCAAAGATTTCGTGAATAAATGGATCAAGCATTGTTTCGTCATCAATCTTCCCATGATCTCTTTGAGAGTTATGTCGTAGACATACTTATCTCTGTAGTAAGTGCTCATGGTCAAATATGGCAAAGTGAACTCAAATTTGTATTTTGGAATAATCTTTGGTAAATAAGGAAGCATCACTTTCAAGAAATCAACAACCCAATCGAAACTCTTCACAAGATAAACAATAGTTCTGATCTTGTCCCACTCAAATTTGAAACTGAAAGGAGTGATCTCAATTGGTAACTTTAAATGTGTAAAAGTGCCATTTAATGACACGTTTTTGATCACTTCCCAAACGTATCCTTGGCAATTTACAGTTATACAAGCGTCTTTTAGAGTGAATGATTTCTTGATCATTGCGATAACTTTCCAACTCAAAATTGCTGATATATCTTCCGAGATTCTCAAATCCATTTTGGCAGGACAAAATCTGAGAGCGAGGTTGTTCCAATTTATTGGTAAATATTTCGATCCTAAAATTTTTGACAAATCTTTCAAATAATGAAGAATAATTGGATCGAACTGTTTGTAATTAATGGCATCTAAATTGACCTTGTAATTGGATGCATTCAGCTCAATGTCAATCGTTGATTTGCTCTTTGTATCAATATCAAAAGTGTCAAGAACTTTTAATGTTGCAATAAAAGTGACACGATTTTCATCCAATGTTCTGAGCAACATCCTTCTATTGTTCTTGTCCAAAACATTGTAGATCTGTATCTCGTTATAAAGCGCTTGCAAAATAAAAGAGTGGTTTTTGTAAACATTTGAAATTGATCCATTTTTGACGATTATTTCCAAAAATTTTTGTTCTGTGTCATGTTTCAATCTAATTGCGCAACTTTCGTTTGTTGCTTTGATTGAAATCATTCTGATGAGATTGGAAAGGAGTAGCTGCATGTCCGCTTCAACTTTGGTGAGTACTTCTTCGTATTGTTTCGCTGATTTCAGTTTACCTTGGAAAAGATCGCGATAAAGTAAAGCCAAACGTGTTGGTAATGTTTGTTCGAGCTTGGTTATCTCTTGTGTGTTCTTTTTGAGTACTGCACGCCTGTATTTGAAGAAATTCATACAGAGTTCTCTCGTATTTGTTGTCTGGTTACGTGTAGAAGTATGAGATTTCAGAGCGCATGTGTTAACAAACTTCCATGCTTCCTCTATTTTGTCGAAATTTGGTCTTGGAATCCATCTGCATCTCCAAAACAAGAAAAACTTCGGATAATCATCAAGAATTTTATGTAAAAGTCTTAGTATCCATCTGTTGACGTTAATCTTTAAGTCTGGTAATTGAACATCAATGTCAAATTTATCGATAGCATCGTTAATTTGAACTGTGCCTGTTAATGACATTGGTTCTATCAGATATTCCTGCTCTGACTTGAAAACTTTCTGCATTTTGTGTTGCATCCGCTTGATATTATGTAATGAGATTTTCTTTTTCTTCCGCTGATAGTATACTGAAAATCCATTGATCTCGATTGCACGAACAATCGAATTTGGTCTCGTATTTGTTGGTGGGTCGTTAATTTCGATATTTTTAATTTTGACACCGAGGACATTTACAGATCTATGTCGTGGTATTTCAATTCGAATATGAACATTATTTATACTGATTTTAACGTTCTTAACAAAGCTGCGAATGATGTTTTGATAGAATTTTATTGAAGATTTACTAATTAATGAATTGAATGTCTTTTTAAAATAATCGTGTGCGTTCATCTGGTGGTCTCTTATCTTAGGAATATCCTCTTTTGGTGGATATTTTTCCTTGGTAAGGATCAGCGGATGGCAAATGATGGTAATTTCATCGATTTTCACGGTCGCATTCACATCGACTAAGTTTTTTAGGGGCATGTTTACGACCATTGAAGATATAACACCTTGGTCGATTACTAAAGGAAGATTATGTTGTAAAAGGGCGTATTTATACAATTGAACATGCGATAGTTCGAGTTTGCCTTTGAAAAGACTAAAATTTGTTTGATCGCGTGATATATCTTCGAGGTATGAAGATAATGAAGAGTTGATCCATTCACAAAGCAAATCCGCAGACATCTAAAAAAGGAAAAAGAATCAAATTTTGATAAAATTAAATTCACTTTTAGAATAAAATTTCAATGGTGTGTGAAAACAATTGCAGGTTTTGGATCTCTGTAGATTAATACGATTTTTTTTTATTTTGATTTTCGGAGAGGTAGGGCAACGATAGAAAATTTTTAGAAAAAAACTTCGGAGATCTTAAACGTATCATATTCCCTGCATGGTTTGGTATCTTCCGCCATGCGTTGTGCCAAACATATTGACACTTTCCAATAATTAATTTATGGTATGAGTCACAGAGTTAGATTATAAAAAGAAAGTAAATAATTGCAATTAGAAATCATATATGTCGGAAATCAAATGTTGATGAGCGGAAACCTTTTACTCATCATAAAAGAGATAAATCACTAAAGATTTGTATACATTAAAATTTGATATTTGGTGCTCGAAAACTGTCTGATGGGACTCCTCCAAAATGAACCAATCTATCGCTGAGGACCAAATTAGATGATGTGGATGGTGTATTCTCTAATTCTAACTTAGGAAGAATGGGAACAAAACGAATGACGACAACAACATGTCAAACATAGATTAAATATCTATGAATCAATAAAGTATACGTGCATTGAAGGTGATAACAATCACTTGAGGCTTATAACTCTTTGACTAAATTATGCAATAATTAAATATAATCATTTTTATATTTTTATACTGATAGTAATTAATATACTATCCTGCTTAATAAATGGTATGATCAAATTTGTTTGAAAATTTAATTATGTATATGAAACTATGTCTTCTATATAAAAATCAAAATTTTCGGACGAACCTAGATTGAACCTTTATGAAAATCTATCATTTTTGTTAATTGAGTTAATATGAATCTTTTACATATGTATATATAGCATTGATAGCTTATATAATCATGATTTATTCCATATTAACATATTTTTTCAGTTAAATTTGTTAATAATATCATGTAACAAATTAATTCAAGATTAGAATGTCTACAAAATGCTAACAAATAAGAACAAAATACGATTTCTCGACTTAAATTTTAATATGGAGTAGTTTTTCGTTTAAATCTAATTAAAAATGAATAAAAACTTATCTTGTACTATTTTCATTCAAAGATTTTAATAATGTAAATCATGCATTTTCATAATTCAGTACAGTTCTTTTTAGAATTAAAGTTGATGAGGATGATATTTGTGATTTAAAATAATTTGTTAATGTTCATCTTTTATTCATCACCTTGTGGTATGCCCTGAAGCAATAGCATTATCAATTCTGCTGAATTGATCAACTCAAAATTCCAAAAAAAATTCAAAATTTCAAAAATGAAATTAAACAATTTGAATTTTCACATGAAAAAATTAATTTCGAAAAAAATTTGGAAAATCAAAGTATTTGATAATTAGTCAAATAATCAATTTACATCGTTTTTACTCATAAAAAACAACTAATTTTTGATTTTGATATCATATTTGATAAATACTCATTCCAGAGTTGACGTAATGTATTAATTATTGTTAGAGATATTGCTTCCGCAGCAAAATTCTTATTTCATGAAAGAAAAAAAAAATGATTTTATTCCAACAAAAACAAGTAAACAGATGAATGGAAACGTACTATATTTTCATAAATGTAGTAATCAGCGTGTCGGCTTTTGTTTATCATGTTCGAGTCAAAATGTCTTAACTTGTAATAAGAAATATTCGAAGATTATATGAAGTATTGAGCATTCTTTGTAGAAATATTTGTAATTCATTACTAACATATATAATAAAGTTGTTTTTTTTTTCCTTATTGCAATAATTTTGTCTGATTTTAATAACTTTTCATGTATACGAGTTGTGTGAATATGCATCATAATATGCGTAAATATACTTATTTGCGACGAATAATGTGGTTGCATAATGGAGGTGCTAAATTTTGATTTTTAATATGGGGCTTTGGTATGTATAATCATGTTCTTATCTCAACGTAGGAGTATTGGTGCAATATGATTAAAATTTACGAGGTTGATCTTAAATTGAATAATTCTGGAGTATAAATCACAATGCAGCTAATTCTATGTTAAAGATAGATACAGATTGTAGTAATCAATTAGGGAGTACAAATTCATTCTTTCATTTCTGTCGTATTGAGCAGAAAGGAAGAGATCATAACCCTAGGAAAAAAAGCCCAAATTTGTCACTTTTCATAGTACGTTAAACTCAATTCGCTCGGCGAATGCCGAGCACACGTACTCATCATTCAACATAATATTCTCATTCTTTGGTTATTATAGTGCCAGACAACACAAGATTTCAAAGAATTACTTGAGTTTTCAATTAATCTTAATCCGATTTTAGATTTATCGAGAACTCCATCATCACAATCACATACTTCAGTGCGGTAACTACAATTATCCATATACAGAAGGAAGTTCTTTTCGAACAACTCATTTGGAGTCTGTTTTGGAAAGAACTTCTTTCTGTCCGACTTAATTTCATAGTTCCTGATCAACCAAAAGACAGAAACCACACACTATCTACTTAGGAAAGGAGTTCTTTCTAAATCTTCCTTAAATTGAGATTTTACGAGAGATAACCCTTCTATTGCACTTAAAAATGAACATTTTGATATCTTTAGTATCACACATGGTCATATATAGTATTTCATCTACATGAATACATTCATCTTTCGAAGTCTCTCATTAAATGGGAGGCTTCGAAAGATGAATCGTTTTATTCATACAACTTTAAATCTCGAACACATTTAGAGAGTGAGTATATCATTTTATTCTTGTTTTGAGTTTATTCTGATTCAAAATTGCAGTGAAAACAGAAGTTCACACATCATATCTGAATGTGAGCTCATCTATACTTATACGATCTCAATACCTCCACTCTAAGCATAAGATGTGAAGTTATATAAAAATTATCAGATGCGTTGAAGTCTCAAAAGAATTGCCTGAATGCTTGTTTCATATTTGTCCAAGTAGTTTCAATGAATAAATGTATTGTTTTTTATATTTTCGATTTATTTTTAGAAAATATTCAATATAAACCTTTATTGTGTTATTTACATCTCATAAATTCTCTGTCTAAATCATATAAAAGCGCGTTTTACCCCTATGAATCAAGAAATTCATTCAATATTCATGGTATATTTATTAAATTTATACGATTTACTAATAATCAATATTATATCCTCATAAATAGCAATATATTTTGGTAATCTATGATAATCATATACAATATTTGAAATCAAATTTTCATTAGTTTAGGTTCCTGGTTAATAGTAAACCATTATATTTATTACTAATAATAAAATCTATGTGTCGTATTGAAATTCAATAAAATTACTTATTCGGTCCAAAAAAACAAATTAGATAAAATTTTCCTTTTTTTATGTAATTTTTGTTTTTCATTTTTCTCAAGATCCTAAGTTATGTTCTAACTTTTGACATCATATCCTATCATGATATTTTCGGACTTTTTGATAAAATGCATTTCTATTTAATGCATTATACATGGTGCTATTCTTCAATTATTTGAGTAATCTTAAATTCATTCAAAATGATTTGAATAGTTTATCTTGTAGACCGAGTTGTCTTCTCATCCTGGATTTAGCAATTCGTAATTCTACCAAATGATCTATATTCAATGACACATGGAAATCGATTAGATCTTTTCTTTATATTTCCTTCGACGATGATGATTCTGTATTCAATTTTGATAAAAACTCTTAATTTAGGACTTGATATTCGTTGATTAAGATTATTTAGATTTAATTATCTGATATGATCCCTTTTAGTAAATTTGGAGAGTGGAAGTTCCGACAGATTATGTAAAATATACAAATAGTTTCGAAAGTTATGGGGATTCTAAATTATTTTCCATATCCCATATCATTAAAATGAGTTCGCAGCCCCCTGGATTAAATGATCAAAACAAGGTATTAGAACAGAAAACGGAAGAGAAAAAAATGTGTCTTGGGAAAGGAGATTAGAAAATTTCGACATTTAGACTGATTTTCATAAGAAACAGCGTCATATCCAATAATAAAAAAAATCATTTAAATAAAATTATCATTTCAAGCATCGTACTTGACTAAGAAAAGGCTCAAGGATACAGTTTACAAATGCAATACGTCCTTCAAATGGTTTTTGAAGAGAATTGTACGTCACTGAGAAATAATTAATTGTTCTATTTACGATAATTTTCCTCAGAATTCAAATAGATTTTCAATGTTGAGAGCAATAGCAAACATTGAATACAACGCAAAAGTTAATTGGAGCATGGTTGTTTCCTGAATATGAAGCAAAAAAATCAATTTGTTTAATGATGGTTGAAAACGATAGATATCTTATAGAATAAGATTAAGTACTTCTTATTTACTTCAATATGAACACATGTTTTGCTTTTGTGATTAAAAAACCTTTACCTCTCAAAAAATTTGAGAAGAGAAAGATTTTCAAATGATTGGTGTCATTAAAATATCAACTATATGAGCATTATTGTTTGAAAATTGTTTACAAAAGGTTTCTCTCAGAAAATATAAAATTATCTTTTGCTTCTTCTACTTGTTTCTCTTGCAATAAGCTTTTCATTCACAACTCAACAAACAACTCTGTATATAACTGGCTCAGGAACATTATCAGCATCATTGGTTACTCCTAATTGTGATATGAATACAATTACAGTGATTCATGTTGGTGAAGGGTGTACTGCATTAACAACGGGAACATTTTATAACTTTGCGTCTCTTGTTGATCTATATTTGCCATCCACATTACAGACAATAACAGGAAGTGATACTAACTACTGTTTTAAACTTGCAAACATTTATCTTCCAAGTGGTAGTAATTATCTTGAACTTGATACTTATGGTGCCTTATATACAAAAGGACTAGTTAAGCTCATAAGGTTACCACCAATGAAAACATCATTTGCTTTCTCATCACAAACAACAACTATCGGAGAAAGATCTATGCAAGGTTGTCGAAAGATTTCAACACTTAATATTACAAATTCTATTACATCTGTTGCAAATATGTACCTTTATGATTCATATTTTACAAAAATATATATTGAAACAGGTTCATCACTTACATCAATTACAAATTGGGGTCATGCATTTAAGCTCACATATATTTTTATTGCAAAAAGTGTTATATCTATTGCTTCGGGTGCATTTTCATATAATTATTTATTGAAAACAATTGAATTTGAAACTGGAAGTGTATTAACAACCATTAATTCAAATGCATTTTATTTTACAGTATTTGAAAAATTTGTATTCCCTCCAAACTGTACTACTATTAGTTCATATTTGTTCAACTTAGTAACAACTCTTAAATATATTTACATTCCTGCTTCTTTGATAAGTATCAATACCCAAGCATTCACAGGAGCACAGAATATTCAGACAATAGAAATAGATCCGAACAATCCTGCTTATACTGTTATATCACCAGCAACTCTAATGCTTAAGGATATATATCCCACCTTCTTCAACAAACTTTACCATTCCAGCTTCAGTCACTGATTTTGGTTATACAATGTTCCAGTCATGCACTCAATTAACAAGCATTAATGTTAATTCATCTAGTAAGAGTTTCGCTGCTGATGCAGGAATTGTATATAATAAAGCATATACAAAAGCAATTGCATGCATTGGTGGAATTACAAAGGTATCATTGAGAACTGAATGCACTTCAAATGGAGATTATTGCTTTTATCAGTGTACCTTATTAACATCTGTCATATTGAATGAAGGTTTATTAACAATTGGAACTTATTCATTTTACGCTACAAACTTCACAGAAATTAATTTTACATCAACAATTAAATCATTGGGATCATATTGTTTTTATAAATCATTATTAGCAAATGTAACAATAAATGGAGGTGGACCAGCTACTATTTCTACATTTGCGTTTGATTTAACGAAAATTACAGAAATACATTTTGGAATAAATTTAGCGTCACTTGGATCCTATGCATTTTATTCAACTCCTCTAACTACAATAACTTTTGATCCTGATTGTCCATTATCAAGCATACCATCAATAACATTTTATCTCTGTACTAAATTAGTTTCAATTGAAATTCCTAAAAATGTTTTGACGATGTATGATAGATGCTTCTATTATACATCATCTTTAAAGAATGTAACCTTTTCTGAAGGTTCGAAACTATATTATATTGATTCACAGGTGTTCTTACAGTCATCAATTGCATTAATTATATTACCTTCATCATTAACTTCTCTTGGAGCAAATTGCTTTAGTTCTTGTACAAAACTTGTCAACGTCACATTTGAAACTGGCATTAATTTAACGACTTTAGGTGGTGGTGTTTTTAAATCATGTACTTCATTAAAAAATATTACAATACCTGCTTCTGTTACAACATTTGATGCATCAGCTTTTATATATTGTACAAGTTTAACTGATATTATCGTTGAATCCAATAATGAAAACTATACAAGTTATAATGGAATTGTATACACAAAAGATAAAGAAAAGCTTGTTTGTTGTCCAGGTGGGAAAACAACTGCATTAGTATTCAATTACATTTTGGTTATTGGATCCAATGCATTTTATGGATGTTCAAAGCTTCAAAACTTATCATTTGAAGATGGTTGTCATTTAGAAACAATAGAAGACGGAACCTTTTATTCATGCACCGCACTGGTTAGAGTTGATCTCCCAACATCACTTCAAACTGTTAAGCAGAATGCATTTCAAGGATGCACAAAACTGGCAATAATAACTTTTCCTGATTATTCACTTGCAAATTTAGCTGCTGATTCAATATTTGCTGATTGTTCATCCCTGACAACTTTTACTTTTGGTAAATATTGTGCTCTAACCGCATTTGGATCAAATATATTCTCAAATTGTGTTAAGCTTGCAACAATTGTTATTCCTGCAAATTGTTCATCGATTGGTGATGGTGCGTTTTCAAACTGTGTAGCACTTTCGAATATAACTTTTGAATCAAATTCGCATATGACATCTCTAAGTAATACTGCGTTTTCTGGCTGTACTGCATTGCTCAATTATACAGTTCCTGATTCATTTACACAAATAAATTCATCATGTTTCGGTGGGGCAACAGCTATTACAATTGTAAATATAGCACCAGGGTTATCAATTACAAAGATAGCATCGAATGCATTTTCAGCATTTCCTCTTAAATACATTAATTTTGGAAAGGGAACTACTGTTTCAAAAATAGACGATTCTGCATTTTTGAATCGATTAATATCTTCTTTTCAAATGGACTCTCCAATGATAATTTCAAGCAATGCTCTTAAAGGGTGTACAAAATTAACTTAAATATCTGTTTTAGGAGCTAAATCAATAGGCTCTGCTGCATTTTCAGGTTGTACTCTTCTTTCTTCATTTACAGTCTCCAAAACGTGTACATCATTAGGATCAAACTGTTTTTACGGATGCACTTCTTTATCTAGAATTGAGTTTATATCAACTTCAACGGTATCTAGTATTGGGGATAATTCTTTTTATGGTTGTACTAAAATAACAAATATCCAAATCCCTAAGAGCGTTTTAACAATTGGATCCAAAGCATTCTATGGATGTTCAAGCCTTCTGAATATATCATTTGCATCCAACTGTGTACTATCATCTATTGGTGCAAACTGTTTCTCAGGATGCACTTCATTGACCAATTTTACAATCCCTGATTCTTTCATCAATATTACAAAATCAACTTTTGGATCTGCACCATCAATCAGAATTGTTAACGTCCCTGCCAATATGTCCATTATTTTAATTGGAAGTAATGCATTTGATTCCTTCCCACTTGAATATTTTAATATTGGACCAGGAACAACAATTTCGTGTATTGATCAATATGGATTTGCGAATACAAAGATTCATTCATTTTCTCTTGAGTGTGAAGTAATTGTTTCGGCTTTTGCTTTCCAGAATTGCACTAATCTTACAACAGTAAATATGACTCAAATGAAATCATATTCATCATTATCAGCAGCTAAGCGAAAATTAAAATCATCATCACTTTCACAAGAATTTTACACAATTCCTGAGGGATTATTCGATGGATGTATTTGTTTAGAGAGTTTATCTATTAATAATAATATTGATAATATATCTGGATATGCTTTCAGAAACTGCAATGTCCTACAATTTACTATTCCATCTTCTGTTACTTCAATTGGAAATAGTGCATTCGAGAATTGTTATAAAGTAAAAATTATTCCAAATTACATTGTTTATTTTGGAAACTCTTCATTTAAAGGAGCAGGTATAAGTAGAACTCTCAAAATAAACTCCAATGTCTCTTATATTGGAGAATTCACGTTCTTCAATACTTCCTTAAGGATTGTTTATTATTGTGGAGATACTGATTTTTCTGGCTTCTCGAGATCTTTTGATGATTCGACTTCAATTGTTGTAACTTTTTCTTATCCAAAAAGTACTTTCTGTGGAGCTACAGTATATCACATGCCATCAAATTCATGCAGTGATATCATGCAAACCAACAATGATGCCAATGGCTTATTGAAGAGGCAAATAGGAGAAAAATTAAATGCTGACGGAATTTTTCTCGCATCTGTATATTACATTGGTCTATGGTAGTTTAATAATGCAATATTTACAATCTGTTTGTATATTTTTAATTTTGCTAAAAGTTACATGCACGAAAAGTAACACCCTCTTCTTTTTTCCTAGGGTTACTGATCGCTTCCTTTCTGCTCGTCATGCCAGAAATAAAAGAAATGATTGGTGTAGAATAATTTATTACTACAATTGGCAACTATCTCGTAATAATGGATCTACTCCACTCATATAGTTTCTAAAAGTTTTTTCAAAAAAAAAGCAATTGCCACTACTCTTTTTTACCACAATTCAATTTTTTTTACAAAATAAAAAATTAGAGGTGAAAATAATTTAGGAAATATTATAGCACATATAAAAATTTCAAAGATTCAAACAAAATTGAGAGCACGCTATGATTCAAATTGAGCAACTATGATTCAGCTCAACCACCTATAAAATAAAGAAATTTACAGTCTCAGTATGCTCCAGTTTTAAGGAAACAAATACTTATATTATATATAGGGAAAAAATATTAACTTTATCTTTTGTAACAATGATTGAGAGATAATAACCAAATACATCAACAAATTATTTTCTTGCAATTGATAATAAATATTCTCTTACTGCTCCTTTCGATTTATCAAGTGCTGTTTTTCCTTCATTATTCTTTACTTCTTTATTAGCTCCAACTGAGATAAGATATTGAACAACTTCAAGATGACCTTCTCTTGATGCCCAAATTAGAGCTGTAAAACCATCTTCTTTGTCTTTGATTTCTTTGTCACAGCCACATTCAATGAGAGATTTAACAAGTCTCAGATTTCCTTGTGAAGATGCTTCATGAAGTACATTTGTACCATAATAATCATCATTTTGTTTTTTCCAAAGTTCTTCTTCACATGCTTTTTGCATCATTTTTTGATTTCCTTTTTCTGAAATTTCATCAAAGAATTTGTAGATTTGATTGAAATCTTCAGAATTTTTAAGTTCCGAAATTTTCGAAAGAAATTCTTTTGGTAAATCGTTTCCTTCTTTCGCTTTGAGTTGAGAGTGAAGAGTTTGCATCTCTTTCTCAACGTTTTCTTTTTCTTTTTGGATCCGAATTAAATCTGCTTGAAGTTTTTCGATTTTATGTGCTGTAATGGATTGATCCTTTTGCAATTGTTCTAAAAAGACAATAATTCCTTCGAAAACTCGCATCTTCATGTACTTTTGAACTGATTTAAGTGTTGAAACGGCATCTTGTAGGTTGTTTATTGAAACATTTGCATTTCGAGTGCAGGCATACAATTCACGTGCTGAAATGACAGAATGGGATTGCGCAAGAAGAGAATTGAACTCGTCAGGTGTTAAATTCGCGAATTTCATGATTGATTCGATATCTTCGACTTCGAATGTGCTAAAGAGATTATCCGCTTCAATATAATCTTTGATATGTGAGCCAATATATTCGTAGTTCAGAACAATTCCCTGACTCATTAAAATTTGTAAAGTGGTAAATTTATGGAATCCACATAATGATAATTATGAATATTCATTTATTTCCGATTACATTTTTATATGACTTGTCCGCAAAACATTCAATACACTGAGAATAAATTACATGGCATTTGTCGTCAAATGCCATGTAAAACTCTCAAAAGTTGAGCCCCTTATTGCTGGGTGAAATCACCCATGTTACAATGTATATTGACTATAAGAAAGGCTACGATTATCTGAAATTGATGCTTTTCCTACAATCAATTTTGAAGATATTTTATAAATATATTTTTTTATAACAAAAAAACAAAATAATTTTAAGGATTAAGCGCAGTTAGGATGTCTTTAAGTATCAATAACGATTTCTCTGATAAATCAGCATCATAAAGTGACAAAAGAATGTCAACATCCAAATTTTCTCTTAATAACTCAATTGGCAGCCTGAAAAACAGTATAGAAATAGAAACAAGTATGAATTCAGTCAGATCTTGTCTGTTTTCATCCAAAACATTAATCAAATCGCTGATTATCTTCATTTGATCGAGATTTTCGAAAAATGAAGGATCAGAAACTTGAATTAACCTCGACATCAACGCGCAAGCAGCTTCTTGTATGCTGAACTGTGCATACGACATGAAATCAATGACATTAAAGACTAATCCGTCTTTGATAAAAAAAGTATGAGCGAGAAAAGGAGCTCTTTCAAGGAGATGACTCAAGAAAATCAATATATCCGACATAAATCGCTTTTAGCAGTCGAAATGTTGACTTGCACGCGTGGAAAAGGAATAAAATTTTCAAAATCAAAGTCATCGGGTAAAACAAACAAAAGAGAGTTAAGAACAGAATATGCAACAGATATATGCATGGCTAATGTGGAAAAAAGTGACGCTAAAACGTTTTTTTGGTGATATTCAGGGTCATTCAAGTATCTTTGGATAATTGGCTGCATATTGAGCTGTATTGCACGGGAAAGTATATAAATAACTCCATCGTTGATGCTTAAATCGATGTCAGTTCCTGTTTTTGACTTGAAAAATGTCCAAAGGTCTTCCATGACGTTTTCGTCGTCTTGCGGCAGTAACTCGAGTATACTGTTGATGTATTTGATGTCTGATGGTATAACTTCTTCTGTATCTTTCGGAATAAAAAATTCAAAAAATTGTAAAAAAAGTTTTGGATGTAATTCAGAGAGTGTTGCGACCAGGTCCTTGTAGGATTTGATGGCGTAGTAGTTTGTGAGTTCAAAATCTCTAAATACAATTGAATTTTATCTTCTTCAATAAGGAAATGGCTTTTATCGGGGAACTTCGCTGAAAGGAAACTCAGTATCTGTAATGACATCACCTCCTTTTTTTGTGTAATATTCTTTTATAGATAAAATGGCATCTTTAAATTTTTTCTCGAATAATGGGGAATACTGGTGTTTCCCTCAATGCGAGCGCGAGCGAACGCGAACACTTTACGATAGCGAGCGCGAGTGAGCACTTTTTCCCTTATATGGTAAGCATATAAATCTATAGGCATATGCACCATTGCAAAACTATCTTATAAGACATTGGTTTATTTACAAATTTCAGATAAAATGCATTTTTTAATTGAAATTTCATCAAATATATTCAAAATATATTAGTCACTTTTTGAGAGGAGGGACGATGATTAAAAAGTGAGTATATATATTTTAATAGTTGCTTGATACTTTTTCGGGCTTATTTATAAGCCCGTAAAAAGTATCACAACTATTTGCAAACTAATAAGACAAGAAATACTCTTCAAAAAAGAAGTACTGACACATTTGACTAGTAATGAAATTAAAAAAGAAAAAAAAATTAACTTCCGTCTCATTATCTTTGATAATTTTTCATGCCAAACCAAATTAGAGAGCATCAAACTTTAAAAACCGAAATGTCTGGTCTATGCTTTAAATATTATCATAAAATAGAGTAGATTTTTCAACTATTTCGAATACGGCATAATTTCAAAAATACAATTTTGATTCAGCAGTATATAACAAATTGAATTCATTATTGATGTAAGCAAAAACACAAGAGTTTAATGACTATTTATCGATGATTTTATCCTTATTCTATTCAAATAAAAATTTTTCTTTTGATATACACCGAAGGATCAGGCGAGAAATAATGCATCATGATACGATTGCAAACCAAACCATTAATTAAATTTTTTGGTTCACAATAAATTTATTTTAACAATTCGCTACGGCGAACTTTGATTTTCCGAGATGCAATGAATTTTATATCAAATAAATACCAGCAAGTATGCTATCCTTCAAATGCGAGCTTGAAAATACGTGAGTTACAAAATACCCTATATTTCCAACTCTTGGAAAATTTTCATGACCCCTACCCAGGGTCCTAAAATGGGTATTTTCCTCACACAGACACCGTGGTTTTTTGAGCCGGGAAATAAATAGCGCAGACAGTTTCTACATATAGAGACATGCTTATACTTAGAGTTTGACGGGAATCTAAAGTGATTTTTTTCTGCATCGCGAAATCTAATGCAATCTCAAAATCATGAAGAAACTGCGAATCGGAGCGCAATTTTTAATATGTTAATATATAAAGGTACCCCTACTACTGCAAATGCTTCAAATGAAAATCTAAGAAATCAGATTAATTTGATCACATTAGTATAATATTGGTCAAACCAAAAACTCATATGTTGATATATAGCCTATGGATATTCATATTATCTACTTTTCATTGAATTACATAAGATTTAATAATCTCATAAATATTCTTTTTAATTTTCCGAATTCCGTGTGCATTTAGATTGCCCATACCTGTATATAATAATTCTAGAATGGTTTGGTTAGATATTAAGTTTTTTAGATTAATATTTTAACATTTTGATAAAACAAGCATTTGTTCCATTTTAGAATCGCCATTGAACTCTGGTTTGACTAACATGATGTTGTATGATCAAATAAATTCTAACTTCATGAGATAAATTTTGAAATTAGAAAATGCGATATCTGACTCAAATATTTATCTGAACACATTTAACATTCAATGATAAACTAAAGTACTATACAGCAGATTCGATTTGGCTTATATTTTATATAATCAACTAATAATCCTATAAAATTGTGCTATTCACGTTGCTCAAAGATGTATTGAACATTCACTACTTGTGTATTGATAAAATTAGATATAGATTCTAATGTAAATTGATATTTTGAAAATTCATATATATTTTGTCTTGGTTTGGCATTTGATCGTGTTGAAACCGGAATTGCAATATATATATCATCTAAATATATAACTATCAAAATATGAGCTATAGATTTTTAAATTATTCTCCTGAATATGAGTGACTAACATAATTATATTGAATTGAGTAGTAAGAATCTTAAATATTAGAATCTGACGATAATTTATTATAATTGTATAAAGGAACAAGACTATAAATGATGATGAAAATAAAGATTAAATTTAAATCTGAAAATTTGAAAACATTAAGTGTATTGTGCACTCTTGTCGGTCACAGTGTCTCATTCCGGGAGACATTGTCACTGCATGTCTCCCAGAATGATATCAAGTTCCCCATTCATAACTTGAATGCGGAACTTTGACCGACAAGAGTGTATTGTGCACTCTTGTCGGTCACAGTGTCTCATTCCGGGAGACATTGCCTCTGAATGTCTCCCAGAATGAGACAATCTTCTGCAATCAGAATGTGATTGCAAAACTTTGAGCGACAAGAGTGTATTGTGCACTCTTGTCGGTCACAGTATCTCATTCCGGGAGACATTGCCTCTGAATGTCTCCCAGAATGAGACAATCTTCTGCAATCAGAATGTGATTGCAAAACTTTGACCGACAGGAGTGTATTGTGCACTCTTGTCGGTCACAGTGTCTCATTCCGGGAGACATTGTCACTGCATGTCTCCCAGAATGATATCAAGTTCCCCATTCATAACTTGAATGCGGAACTTTGACCGACAAGAGTGTATTGTGCACTCTTGTCGGTTGAAAGTTCTGCAATCAGAAGAAGATTGTTGAACAATCCGCCATTCCAGGAGGCATGAGCTTGTTATCTCTCCTGAAATGGCACATATTTGATAATTCATGGAGCAGAACTTTGCACGCAATCAGACAAAAGAGTGCGACAGAGTAACTGGGAAGACAGCAACTTGAAGCGATAAGCTGCTTGGGTGCTGTCTCCCAGATGCATCTGTCGGGCAAAGTCTCAAAGGAGCAGAACTTTGCACGCAATCAGACAAAAGATTGCGACAGAGTAACTGGGAAGACAGCAACTTGAAGCGAAGTTTTGTTTTCGAGTCTTTGGTTAAGAAATCTTAACAAAAAAACAAAGAAAAAAATCAGATAAAGTTGTCAATAACTTCATCAGTTAATGCTCACCTATGGGAGGTGTTTTACGGGAGCTGGGGGTATCTTGGTGAGTACTCAGGAGGCCAAGAAGGGCACCCCAACCGACATTATCCTGATGAATTCAGTTGTCAACCATTCTGAAAACCGCCGAAGCCGTCGTGTGTAGAGAAATTGTTTAAATTTATTTTTTTCAGATTTAAATAAAAATAAAAAATGTTTACTATTATGGATTTTGAAATTTTTCTTAAATTAAGAGTAGGAGATGAGACAAATTTAAATTTTTAAGAAATATTTGGAAGGGCGTAAGATACGCCAACTTAAATATATTATCAAATGAGAGAAAATCACTCAACAAAAAAACAATTCTTTCAAAAAGTTTGGCATTGATCTTTCTAATACATATTTTTGGAAGGGCGTAAGATACGCCAACTTAAAAATATTATCAAATGAGAGAAAATCACTCAACAAAAAAACAATTCTTTCAAAAAGTTTGGCATTGATCTTTCTAATACATATTTTTGGAAGGGCGTAAGATACGCCAACTTAAAAATATTATCAAATGAGAGAAAATCACTCAACAAAAAAACAATTCTTTCAAAAAGTTTAAAATTGATCTTTCTAATACATATCCTATGGAAGGAGTTTACATTCTCAAAATAAAAACCAGTTCAAAATCTTATTATTCCTTGAATAAAAATCATTTAATTTCAAATCCATTCCAAATCCTTAAATCTGTATTAAAATCATTTTGCCAACAACCAATACAATACAAATTACATTTCCATATATCTTCTTGTCCATTTTAATTTTTTATCTCATTTTATTTAATTTTATTTAAAGCATATAGACATCGAGATCCTTTATACATAGTTATATAAAAGTCAAATACATAATAAATTCTTAATTCTAGAGATATCTCAAAATCTCATTTTTTTAATTTAAAATACCTTTCATTTTTCACAGTAAGATCACAACAAACAAGCCATTTACTAATTAACACATATAAGAAAAATATCAAATTACAAAACAACTTTCAATATCATTCGCATCAAATTCTATTTTTTCATAATTATCAACTACATGTTATTATATAATATATGTCGGCGCATATTCCACTCTATACAAGTGTCAGACACACTCACACAAAGCTGTGAGATTCATACCTCTATCAGTAGGACTTCTCAAATCAAGAACACATATGTTTCACTATCGCACATCTGTGTAGGATCTAATTAACCCTTTGGACTGGTACTTCAAAATTTGATAATTTGATAATTTCATGTGATATCATCATTTGCCTTTAAAACAACTGTGCGTTAAACTAGACACGTTTCTCTATCATAATGCAAAATATCAAAGTTTGGGAGATTCCCAAAGTGTCTGAAACTGATCATAAGGGTGAAAAACCGTTTTCCAGAAGTTGGGAACGTAGGGTGAATTTTTTTATATCATGAGTATTTTTGAAGTATGATGTAATTTATAAAATTTAATGTGTTCGTGAGCTTTATTATTGGAATTATATCACTGCCACTTTTTTTAGAATTAATTTTTAGATGGCATCGAAACCGACATCAGGTGATGAGATTATTCTTTGTACACTTTCAGAAAAAGATAAAGATAAAGAGGTTAAGACACTAGAACAAATAATTGGTCATGATAACAATTTTTCAAATAAACAAATCTATTTTGCAATTCCCCTCTCCAATAAAGAGCAAATTGATGACTTTCTTAAAAATCACAAAGATTGTGTTTTATTTCAACTACCAAAATCGAAGAAAAAGTTTAATTGTTTAAATAAAATTAATTCATTTGAAATTCTTCTTGAAGACGAACAGAAAGATCTTAACTATATAGATTCACAGTACTTACATGTTAAATCTAGTAATCCATCTTTTATATCATATTATATTCTAAATAACGAACTAATTTCAAAAGATACCATAGTTTCTTCATTAAAATCTAATTCAATTGGCTTTTTAACCTTTGACAATTCTTCAAACCCTTCAAAAAAGCCGACTACAGTAAAATTTTCGATTCAGGAAGGAGAAAAAACATTCGAAATCCCAATTTACGATGGAATGCGTATGAATGATATAGAAGTTATATTAAGTAATATTTGGCCCTCTTTTGAAGACAATGATCTCGTTTTCAAATCAGAGAATAAAATTATTGATAATATTGAAGATATTATATCTTCAGAAAATGTTTCTGTTGAAATTGCTCTCCAAGATTTCACAATTAAAGTAATTGCAAGAAAAACACGAAATCACCAAATTCCAATGAATCCACGCAAGAAAGTTCAAGATTTGTTATGTAAAATTAATGAATTAGAACCAGATACACTGACCAAACCATTTAAATTGATGAGCAATGGAACAAATTACGTCGAAAAACCTGAAACGCTTCTCAAAGATATAGATGTAACTATGTACCTCAACTATGTGCGCCAATAGTATAGAAATGTTTTTGTTTTTGTTAAAAGATTAATTAACATTTAATTTTTTTTTGTTTTTTAATCAACATTTGATAGAAATGCAAATATTTCCCATTTTACAATTATGACTAGCTATAGGCATTATACATTTACCAATTGATTATGCCTAAATACCCATATATATATTTCATTTAAGGATAACTTTATATTTTTTTCTTCTGTAAACGCTTTTTATTGCATAACAATATTTGTACATTACCCAGTTTCATCATTTCATAATAATTATTATGAAAAATGCATTTGTGAGTAGGTGTTTGGTGCTTGGGTGTTCTAGAAAACCTAATTGAAGATAGTCACGAAGTAATGGGTTTGACGATGAAATTGACTGACGGATTGAGTGGCAAATAAAAAAGTGACTGTCAAATTGGATATTGATTTTCCCCAAATCGGAATCATACCAGTTGATAGATATTAGAATTAATAAATTTCAGAATTTACAATTCAAAAATAAGAATCTGTCAAGAAGTTTATGCTTTCACCCTTTAAAAATTACATCAAATACATCAGTTCGGCCAACAATTGCATCTACATTCATGATAGATTTTGTGACAACCCATATTTTTACTCAGATATATACGCTCGCTTAGTAATTCTTATTCCCTTTATGTATTTCGTTGCCTATAGCTTTAGGACTCAAAAAATAACATTAAAATCAGACAATTTATATGGTGTAAGCATATGTATCTCAATTTCAGCCCTTTCAATATGTTATACAATTTCAAAAACGTTTTTGATTTTAGGTATCATGAAGTTAACCAATATGATGCATATTGGAAAATATACAACTTTCTAAAAGTCACATCGGCAATAGCAATATTCGATTATTACTATAAGTGTTTCCGGATTTTTTCTTTAATAAGAGTCCCACTATCAAAACTTTTTGTTTACTTCTATCTTATAATGAAGTACTTGTATTTACTATTAATACCTGTGATTATTTTCCCACGATCTAACAAAGTTTTTCAAATTATTTTTGATAATTTTTTATTGTATAACGAGTTTTATCAATTTTATATTGAATCTTATTGTTTATATTCTTGCTTCTATTATTTGCTAATTCCATATGTTTATGAAGTTTTTCCAGATAATGTCAAAAAATATTTAAAACTGATGATTTTCATCGCTTGTTTTGGAAAATTGGCTAATATTGCAGGATATGCTGCTATGTCTACCGTGTATCTTTATGTAACATTGAACGATGTGCTGATTGTCGAAATTATCAGCTTGCTTCCAATGTTTTTAGAGACTTTTCCATTACTAATTATCATATCTATGCTAAATGATAGACCAGAAAATGAAGAACCAATAGAAGTTTCATCTTCAAAAAGCCTGGAAATCCCTCTCATGACATAATAAGATATATCAATCTATTCCTTTCTGCTCGCCTTTAATCTCGAGATTCACTTATTTCTTTAGGAGTTTTACAGGAAATTTATTAGGATTTAGAAATTTCCCATTTTTTTCGAAACAGGAAGCGAAATTCTAATGATCTTTTGAAGCATTTGAATATTGGGTTCAACTCATTCTTGTTAAATGATTATTGCATAGGATAAGCATGATACTTTTTGATTAAGAAGTGTTCAATTTTATTCCATGTGCATAAAAAAATAGTAAAAGTCTAATAACTATTTCGTTATTGAGTTTTTCTTTTGTAGAATTACCAGAATGCAAAGTTATCCATATCATTACAAAATACGAATATACTACAAGTTTGATAAAAATTCAAATTAATTATAATGTAATTTATAAAAGATTAGTACTGGAATGTTAAGATTACTATTGTTGAATAAGGAAGAAACATCAACCCCCAACAAATAATGTTTCAGCTGCAATCTGTAATGATGTTTCTAGCATCATTGGTACCAGAGAATTCATCTTTCTGCATCGCCAAAAGCTTTAATCTTAATAAAGAATAGGAATACCTTACAGCCTTGTAAACAAACAGCTTTCAAGGTATTCTCAGCACTAAATAGCAAATCTCATCTGAGTTCTTAGAATCAAGCTACAATTATTATGAACTCCACTTATCGAAAATGAATTTAAATTATTTTTGTACAAACCTGTTGTTGTATAAGGAATTCGATTAGAGTTTTATTGTAATGAAATCTTGTGGTATATGGCAGAGTAATCAGAGTAAATAGTGTTAAAGTGTTAACTTGTATTCGCAATTATGTTTAGTTTTGAAGTATCTGTTTGTGGTTTGATTAAAATAAGATTCTCAGAGTGCACCTTAACAAATAATGAACATTCTTGAAACTTTATGATTAATTTTGAAATTTGTAATTTCGATTCGCATAAGAGTTTAAGTGTGAAATATTGCATTAACATTATAATGTGAATGTTTATTTACAAAATTTTAGATAAAAATTTTCATTTATTTTATGGATTTTGAATCTTTGATCAAAGAAATAACAAATGGCGGACCCAATTTTAAAGAATCGGAAAGTATTCTCATAGAAATATCGTCGTCTGAGCCTGGAACATTTATAAGTAACTTGCTCGCAATTATAACTCAAACGCAAGATAAAACATTGCAACTATCAGCAACAAACATGTTAACAATACCTGTTAAGCGAAATAATGATCAAGTATTTAATAGATTAGATCCTAAAGTCATTCCAATTCAAAATAGAATGGAAATGAAAAATGTCCTGATACAACTATTAAGTTACCCGACGGATATTGCCAGAGTTGCAAGCGAAGTTCTAGTCTTTTACTTTGAAAATCAATTAGAACTGAACAATCAAATAATTCAAGAATTAATTTCATTACTAACACCAGAAAATGCTGCCAACATAACGATTCATCTATTAAAGACCATATTAAACCTAGCAATGACCGGTTTTCTTGTACCAGCAACAACATATGAGTGTTTAAACCAAATTTTCTCATTTGCAACATCAGTAGAAACTTCAGATGAATTCAAAAAGGTTTTTATATCAATATTCTTACAGTTAATTAGTCGAATGTTGCCTCCTACTGAAATCAATGATTTTCTTTTTGAAATTCTTCAGTGGGTATGGTCATTCACACCACAAGCGCCCAAAGAAGGCTTTGAGTTTGTTAAATATTTCATGACTACTAAGTATCAGCTCGTTACGCAAATCCCAGATTTTCAACAACAAGTTTTTACAGCTATTATGAGCGAAAACAAAGATATGAGTATAGGAGCGATAAACCTTTTATCACAGAGGTTCTATACGCCCATAGACGATAAAATTGAAGCAGTAAATTTCCTTGTTGATAATAATCAGTCTGAAATTATCCAAAGTCTTATAGAAATCATCTCCAATGATGAAAGTCCTGATATTGTCAAGCCAGAAAGCCTCACTGCTGCTGCCAGAATCAGTCTTGCTTCGATGACTTTAAATTCAAGCGACGAAATCAGGGAATTACTGATTTCCACGTCATGCGAATTGATAGAATCCCAACAAATAGGTCAAAGGGATGCCGCGATCATCATTTTTACAAATTTATTAAATGAAAGAGATGAAAAAGTGGCCAGCATCAAGCCATATACTACTCAATTTGTTCTTGCAGCGATCAGTGACCAGACGCCACGTATTATGATCCTTGGTTTCTATTTGTTGCAGAGTTTATCAATGGGATCAAATTTCCAAGTCGACGATCAAATGATTTCTTATGTTGTAAATGCTGTAAATGCTGACATAGAAGACCTAAGTAACGAAGTCATTGAATGCCTCTTCGTTATCCTCTCCAAATGTAGTGAAGAAGCGAAAAACGCAGCAATTGAAGCGGTTTTTCATCACATTTTGGAAATGTCCGATGAAAACGACAAAGCAGAGTATCTCAGGTATTTAGATGCCATGGTACCGAAACTTTCCAAAGAAGTTGCAAGTTTGTCATTACCAACTGCTTTGGAATTGGCTTATAATAGTTTACAAGCACCGACAATTCCAATTTTTGCTTTCCCTGCAATTGGTTTTTGTTCGAGTTTGTTTTCTAAAAGCGAAAACTTGGCTGCGGATAATTACGAGAGCTTCCTTCAAATGGGCATGGTGCTTGTAGAAAACGAGATGCTAACAGACGGAGCATTGGTTTTCACTTCTTTGTTGAAATCAATCAACGACCAAAACATTGTTGATTTTTCTGTCAATTTAATCAAAGAAAAATTGACAAGTGTTTCAAATAGCGAAGAGTTATCTTCAATGCTAAAACTCTGTGTAGCAGCTACTAAGTATATAGATGACCTTGAGTTCTTGGAATCAATCTTAATGACGTCAATTTCCTTCGCAAACAGTTCTGACACTGATGAAAATGTCAAAAGTGAAGTGTTGAATTTAATTTTGACAATTTTCACAGAAAAGTCGAAAGATCTCATTTTCGGACACATTCCACAAGTATTCGAATGTGTCTTCATTGTATGGAAGTATCCAATAAGCATACATCCAACTCTGAACGCGATGGCAAGAGAATGTATTCCATTTTGTAACGAACAATCTCCTGTTGTGCAGAAATTAGTGTTGGGAGTATTGTTCCAGATGGATAATAGAATAATGAAGCAGGAAGAAACAGGTTCTTTCATTGTGGATGTCTGTGAAGCTGTTCATCGTTGTTCGGAAGATCCATTAGCTGATTTAGCTTGCTTATCAGGGAAAGTGGAGTATTTGAAGAAATATATTCAGCCAGAAATCGTTGAAAAGATTTGCTCAATGCTCCCACCACCACCTCAGTAATATTTGATTTATTATTTCATGTATTATATTATTTGTTTGAAATTTTATAAAATTGATATTCTATTGCTTAAATGCTGATTTTTTTTATTCTTTCTGATTCATATTTTTTAATAATGAATATTAAAATTACACGCTATATTTTTGCAGGTTCAATATTCCTCTTTGGTATAGTGTTGTTAATTCTTTCTGTAATATTTGAAAGGCCTAAAGTAGAGAATGATGAAGCACAAACCGTAGAATATCTTGATGATTTTCAATTTAATGCCAAACTTAACAAATGCGTACAAGATGCTCAGAAATCAATATATATAATATGCAAAAATCTAACTGCTTCACCTGAATTAAAGAAAAATCTTGAAGCTGCTATAAAAAGAAACGTTAAATTAAATATTATTGCAGAATACTGTTCACCAATCGATGGGTATACACCGCCCAAACAAGATTTCTCGAAATCTTATGAAAATGGAATTTCTTCAAGTTTAATAATTTTTGATTCAGACAAAGCCCTTATTCCATCAATGGAACTTTCTCACCAAAATAGTCAAACAGCTTTATACTTCGAAAAAGCCCCATCTTTAATCAATGATTTACGTAATTTTTATAATCTTGGAGAATATTATGGGTCGGGAAAGGACAATGATAGAGTTTGGCCGGATAAACTATTAGTACACTACAATTACTATCAACCGCATAAATTTAATTTAGATGGCGGAATAGGAAATTTATCTTTTGCTCAATCAGGCACTAAAATACCACCTGTTCGAGATAGTCACTATCAACCATTCAAAGATGTTATAAATTCAAGTGATGAACAAGAAATTCTTGTAAGTACACAAAGATTTATTCAAAATCAATCTCATACTCCTCATTTTACACTTCAGAACCAGCTTATTAAATGTGCAGCTAGAAATAATAATACAAAAATTAAAATATTAGTTTCTATCCATGATCTTGATATTAATTTTAATCAAACTCTTCGTTGGGTTTCATCAGTCTGTTCAATGAAAAATATTGCTGCAAGAATTACTTCTGAAAAACACATTCCAAGTTATGTTGTTGTTGGTAATCATAGTTTCATATTTAGTTCTTATCCTTTATCGGATATCTTATTTGATAATTCATATGGTTTTACTGTTATAGGAAGAAACTTTTCTAAAATTGCCGACGCGATGAGAAAAGAATTCTATAAAGTCTACGATAAATCCGAGAACTTTACCTGTTGGCTTGATAGAATATGGGATGATATCAAAATTAATCATTCTGATACCTGTTTGTTTTAGTTTTTTGATTGTATGCAAAACCAACTGTTTACTAATATGAATAAAATATTATTCAAGCATTATTAGTTATACGAATCACTTTTTTCGGATATCTAATCGCATGTACTGGATATTTGTGAAGTATTTTGAAAATAACAAAACAGTAGATTGCAAATATTTTAATCAAATTTATAATAATCTGTATAAGAACTTAATCTTTGAGTTTTGAAAAGTTTATTATTGAATTTGGTAGATACAATAAGCGATGATCAATTTAAACCCAATTATAAAAAAAAAATTAGAAAATCATAAAATAAAGGTTTAGATAAGTATCGTAAACCAGTTTAGAAATCGAATAAATAAAATATTTTTATGAATTAATGATTGTTGAAGAAATTTCGAATGTGAGCAAATAAAATATAAAGGATGTTACGGATTTATATGCATAATCATTGGACGTGGAGTAATGTATTGATTAAATATTGCTTTTTCGAATTATTGAATGATTTCGAAACTGTTATTGATGAATTGAAAATTTATATGGAGTATTGTTGCATTTCTGATTAATGAATAAGCTAAATTGACGTATTTTTCAGTATTCTAATAATAAATCTGCTCTTGAATCCATAAATTAACTTATTTTGATTAAGAATTTTAACTTAGAAGAGTGGAAGCATGTTTAACTGAAAAGCAGTATAATACTGCCTTAGATGTGATCAATTCTATCTTCAATTTACCTTTCTATTCGTATATGATTTGCCAAATTACAAATGGCCTTAGAAAATAAGGAAAATTATGATGGATTTCGAATATTAAATAAATTCTACTACAATATTATCTTGTCTCGAGCAATTAGAATCTGCAAAAACGGATTCCTTATTGAAATATTATATCAATAAATTGGGAAAGCGGTTTTTATCCATGAATTGAAAGGTCTATCGTCTTCAACTCATCCGGCCAGATTATAATATCTAGGTAATAACATATTAAACCTAATTTTATGATTTTATGGAATTTCGCATAAAATAGTTTTGAATTTTGATTTCTCCATATTCAAATTTCAACAATAGGTTCAAAAATTTGAATTGTCTTCAAATTACTTGGAAATTTTATGCAAATTTTAAATAGCTATTTATGAAAGGGATAAATTTTGAAAACGATTAAGCCAAACCGAAACCTCTCAATCATTTATCCTCACTTTTTAATATGACTCGCGTCATCTCTAAGGCATTAGTTGAACAAATTTACACACCAGAAGAAGCCATTAAAGGCTGCTTCAAGGCTTTCTCCATTATCTCCCACCAGAAGTTCACAGCTCCAGTTAGAACAACTTTGAAGACAGATCAGCAAGATCTTCTCCTTATGCCATGCGCCGTCCATGAAGAGAAGATGACAGACCTTGCTGTCAAGATCCTCTCTGTTGTTCCAGGCAATAGAGCTCGTGGATTACCACTTATCCCAGGCAAATGCTTAGTTTACGATAACGAAACAGGCAACCTCGATGCCATCATGGACGGATTCATGGTCACATTCAAGCGCACAGGCGCTGTTGCTGGTGCTACAGCTCAGCTCCTTCACCCAGCTCCAGCTCCAAATGTTGTTATCTTCGGCTGCGGCGCTCAGGGCTATGCTGGTCTCGAATCCATCCTCACAGCCCACCCAGAAGTCAAGCAGGTCACATGCTTCGACTTCTACAAGCCAGCTGCTGAATCATACGTTAAGAAGCAGTCCGAAACAGACAAGACACGTACATATATCCTCGGTGAAGATGTCGAGAAGGCTGTTAGAGAGGCAGACATCATCCACTGCGCCACAACATCCAAGGAAGCCCTCTTCAAGGGTGAATGGGTTAAGGAAGGCGCACATATCTCTGCTATTGGCGCCTACAAGCTCGATATGCGTGAACTCCCGAACGAGCTCTTAGCTAGACCAAACGTTCGCGTCTTTATCGACCAATTCGAAGCTATGCGCGAAGAAGCTGGAGATATCATGGATGCTATTAACAATGGCTTCATCAAGGAAGAGCAGCTCATGGAGTTTGGCACTGTTATCAACGGTGACAACGAGGGCCGCCAGAATGAGAAGCAGATTACCATCGCTAAGATGGTTGGTGTCGCCGCTCAGGACACTGTTGCTTCCCAAATCATCTACGAAATCGCTAAGGAAAAGAATCTTGGCGTTGTCGTTGAAATTTAAAGTAATTCGTTTTTAAAATTTGCGAAATACCCTTTTTTTCCTTACCAATATTTCATATCGCATTATAACATTTATTAATATAAAACTCATTTTTGTCCAATACTAAATATAAATGACAACATTTCAAAATAATGAGAGGATCAATGAACAATTACTTATAATTTTTCGATGTGTTTTATTATTGTTTACTCTCGCATAGTAAAAGCAAAACTAATTTAATCGGAAATTCGAAATTCATAAATTTAATGGAGCAAATAATGAACTAATGATGACAAAGAATTTTCTGATAGAATAATAGATGTTTGCAAAAGATTTTGTTTAAATTTAATAAAAAAGATAATAAACAAAAAAAAATAAAGATAAAAATATATAATTTCTTATGAATTGTTCTTCACTTGTTGGTCAAGTAAGTCAGAAACAACTGTTACAGCGTTCAACAACAAGTGATCGCTGTTAATCGAAATATCGTATTGCGTTAAGATGTCAGAGATCAAATTATGCAATTCCAGGCAATGCATCTTAGAGGACTTCTTCTTTTCTTCAAGAATAGAAGGTACCAAGTCCCAAGCTTTCGAATATTTATGAGAATCTCTGTCAAAAATCGCGTTTCTTATTTGGTTGACTTTCTCAAGTAGTTCGTCGTTTCTTAGGTTCGGGATACTTCTGTTTAGACCTTGGAAATACTCGTAAACATACTGTGTTTTGTCATTTTGTAATTTTTGACAAAATTCTCTCAAATCCGAAATATTTCTGACAGATTTCGGTTTGTAATCGTTCTTACTCCAGTCACTGTCATTTTTATAATTGGCCGGACTATCTTGATTGTAAGAATCGTACAAAAACTCTGAAACTCCTGTTTCTGTGACCGGCAAAATGAAATCGCATACGCCGATCATGAAAAGAGCTCCTTTTAAGTTCTTTAGTGCGGCATTCCTCGAATGGAACTTAATGTATGAACAAGGGAAGTCAAATTCTCTGATTTTTTGTCGAGAATAAATAATCTCGATTAATTGGAGGATACAAGTAATATTGAACTGGTCATCCGGTGACTTTTCACTTAGGAATGCGGAATAGAATGCATCAAACCTTCTATCGTTTGGAGATACATTCGCAAGTAATGTTGGGAAAATAAACCAGTATTTCTCGGGTATTATTGCGCCACTGTTTGCTACTGCTTCTCCTACCTTCATTCCGATCTCAACGAAGTCAGGAGTGTCGCAAAGTAACCAAACAGCGCATGTAAGTACTGAAAAGAGATTTCCGTCTGGGTTTAGATGTGTAGAAAGCTCTTCGATGATTGTGCAGTTGTCTGGGCGATTGATAAACGATGCTGCTATTGCTAATGCGTGTTTATGAATCAATCCTTTCAAAACTTCTTGAGCTAAGACGATGGAAGACACGATAATAGGCTTTTCTTTTTTCTGTAATATCAAATAGAGGAACTCTGTGAAGAATTGTTCACCTACAACCTCTAATATCCAAGGAGATGCAACATGTAAGGCATCTAAAAACGCCAAACATGTATGAGCCGTTTGAGCAAGATGTGCGCATGTCAATAATGTCTGTATATCGTGTAATTGTCCTTTAGGAATGCATAATCTTGCCAAAAAAATTGAGAAATCAGTGAAATCTTCCATGTCAAAACCGATATCGAAATTATCTTTATCAAATAATAATTTCATTTGCATTGCGGCAACGTGTAAATGTGAATAAACATTTTTGACATTCATATTATTTGCGATATCTGCAATTGGACCTTTTAATAACCTAAAAGCCTTTTGGCGGATCGGCTTAGGGCATTTCTGAAGGATGAACGCGTTGGCAAGTATATTACTGAGCCAGGCATGTTCGTCGATTTGGTTTTCTGCGGAATATAAATTAGATAAGAAGATATCGAGGAATTCTTCGTCCATTTTGAAGCCTTGGTTCAAGAGCAGGTTCTTTATGATATTTGTGATGTTCAAATCTGAGTCTGTATGTGGGGATGCCCATGAAGAATGAACAAAAATTGAAAAAATTTGGTGTAAAACAAATGGAGGAGTGTCCGGAGCCGAGAAAAGTTGGAAAATGATGGTTTTCAGCTTTTCCTCTGCAACGCATTCGCTAACCATATGGACTCTGGCTGATTGCAAGTAGTTTTTGAGGCTGTCCGACCTGAATATTTCGTTTGGCTTTACAGATACAGGGTCAAAAATGTCATCATTGCTCTCGTTTGATGTCAATTTCGATTTATACAGCTTGAAAAGTCTGAGATCTGCTACAACAATGCTCTGATCTTTCGCATCTTTTGGAAATGGATCTAATTTTCCGCCGAAAGATAAAGTTACGGTCTTCCCTTTGAACTGGATCGGAAGGAAATCTGATTTCTTTGAAAGATCTCTGTCTTTGATCGTATAAATCGTTGGTTTTGGAGAAGAATCGTAAACTACTGTGTAATGCTTCCATCCTGAGCCATAAGAAGCGATGTTTTGGAGGAGAGCGACCCTTGTTCTGTTCTCTGTGTCCTGGAAAACCATCTCCAACTGTTGTTCTATGATTTGAAGATATAATTCACGATTTTCTGAGTCAGAAAACTTAACAATGAGTAGTGGATATTCTATATATTGTAATAATCTGGTGTCTAGTCTCATCCAAAATGAAAGAGAAAAATCATTGAGATCTGAAGCGGAAATTGGGTCTGAAATAGCGATCGTATCACGGTAATTGAGATTAAATATCGGTTCAGGTATGGTATCACTGAATTCCATGAGTCTTAAGAACCTAAGTCTTAAGTCATTCGCTTTTTCTGATGTTGAGTTGGAAATAAACTGAATAAAGTTGGGTAGAATGCGTGAATTTGGTCCATTCTTGACTATTTCTTCAAAGATGTCCCATGCAGTGTCGTAATTAACGAAATTCAATTTAACACCAAATTCTTTCAAGAAAATTACATTATCATCGCGTGAAAGAACATTGGAAATGAACATTTCAACACTGCTCTGTCCGAAATTCCTTCCATTTGAAGGGGATTCCAAAATTGCAGATTTTAATATTTCAATAATCTTCGGGAAAATCTCGTTTTCGCCAAAAGCGATGAACAATATATGCAAGAACTGCGGACATTTGATCATGGTCATTGAAAGTGGAATAGGAGCGCAAGTAGACTTATTAATCAAGGTAAAGAAAGGATTTAGATCGGTGAAAGAGAGTTGGTTGACCACCTTGGCAATAGTCATTTCATCATCATTTGAAAAAGTGACCTTATCTTGGACAAATGAAATTTGAGCCATAAATGAAAAGAAATCATAGAACATTTCTACGGTACATTTGCGTTCTAATATTTTAATGAACTTGCTGATGATGTCTGATGTCATTAATTTCACGAAATCAACACTTATCTCAATTATTTTGAAGATTTGGTTGAAAATCAAGACACCAATCTCTGTGTACTTGGGTGTATTGTTATTTAAGATGGATTCAAGTGATGATTTGAGGGCAGGAATGACTTTTTCCATTGCATAAGGAGATAATTGGGAAAATGTTGAATGTATTTTATTATTGAATATGTATTGGTAGTCTTCATTGAATACAAATGAGAAGTAGAAGCACGGCGTTGTGTTAATTATTCCTTTTAACTCATTTGGAGATAATAATAAAAAGAATTTCTCACAATTTTGAGGTGTATTTGTTGCTTCGTTGATGAAAATGAGGATTCCGTTGAGAGCATCTAGGATTTCCTGTTCATTATTCTTTATTGAATTTTGTAACGATAAAATAACTTCGAAAGCGGAATAAACGGTTTCTTTTGTAATGTAATTATGTAGTTGGTTGATCGGACAAAGCATCATGACTCTGGAAAGAATTTCTGCGTACAAAAACGGTTTATCCTTCAAAGAATAGATGAAAGAACAAACCTGATTGGAACTAGCCCTCATCATGAGTGTCAGAACCTCGACTCTAAACCAAGACAAGATATCATTGACTTGGGAAGTAAATATCGTAATGAATTTGTTAAATATTGTATCATTGAAGACTGATTTTGTGACTTGAAGTAATGCGTCGGGTTTTTGATTAAGAATATAAATAAATAATGAAAATCTTGGATAAAATACAGGAACCATCTTTTCTGTGGCTTTCTGACCAAGTCTAATGAAGAATTCATCAATAACTGACCTATCTGTGCCGTTCAAATTTAAAATTAAAAGGTCAATAATATGAATAAATTCTCTATCCTTAGAAAATGGGAAGTATTCTTGGTAATCCGTTAAATTTGGTAGTTTGTAAAGTCCGTTCGAGAAGTAATTTGTCTTTTGAGGAATAATTTCATAAGATGGTGTTTTTAGAGGTAATGGTTCGATATTTATTGTTGGATGGAGTTGTGGAGATATTTCCTGGATACCACTGTTCGCTGCTCTGTTAAGAAGTGCATCAATAATCGTATTTATGCAAATGGTAATTGTTGATGCTGAAATTTGTTTAACTAAAGACCAGAAGATATCAAGAGGAACACTATTTAATGTCTTTAGTTCTGGTGCAACGATATTCATTAACTCTGTAAGATTTTGCACCCTTAAAATTGGAGAATTTTCTTTAATTAGGGTCAAAACTTCTGGTAAATACTTTGAAACTTGTGGGCGTATGAAATTTAAGATAATATCGATGCTTTCTCCAGTTAATGCAAGATTATATCGAATATGACTCCAAAATAATTTTGCAACTTCAGGAGACCATTCGTATGATGTATTTTTCTGAATGTTCAAGCACATAAGTGTAAAAAGGTATGCAATATCTTGCATATAATCTTTGTACCTGAGTGCTTGATCTAAACATTCAAGAGCTTTTTGAAACATCGACTCAGTTATGCAATTTGGATCTTGTATTCCGAAGCAGAGGATTTGGAATAGAAACTGTATCATTAAATCTTGCTTTGGTCGCATTTTTGCGGAGACCGATTCAAAATCGGAAAATACTGAGGGATTATAAGTAATGTTAAAGCCATATTCTTTCAATACAGCTTGAACAGGTCTCCCTCCAATAATTTGTGATGTTAATGCGATAATTTTTGGTTTGTCGAGAACTGGATACGATTGAAGTATCCCAAGCTCTTTAGGATCCTTCACAGTCTTCTCTAATTTCATCTTATCATAAAGAAGATGATATATAGGATGGTTTTGGGGATCCTTCTTCAAATTCATTGTTTTTTATTTTACATTGAATCCCATGGGCGATGTCAAATTCAGCATCTAGATAATGGATAAGGAGTCTAGTTAAAAACATTTGTTAAAATTTCAAAATCTTGAAGATTTGACATTTTGATGCTCAATTTTTCTCCATTTTTTGATTTTCATGCTTAGATGTCTGAATACTTTTGATCCAAGGATCTTTTTATTTCCAAAAAAATTCAGCTGGATATTTTTTATCCTGAAAACATCTGGAAAATTTTTTCATTTTTCAAATTTTGAATTTTTTTTGGAATTTTTCTTCTAATATTATTAAAATCTAAAACGATAAAAATCTTATATTTTAGGAGTTAAAAGATAGTCAATTATTATTTTTCCATTTTGATAATAATTAAGAAAATATTTTTTGAAATACAAAGAGCTTCAGATATTTTACAACTCTTTTCTTCCTAGCATCTGGAGTTTAAATAAATTATCCTTAGTGGTCTATAGCATGTTGATTTAATTCTTCAAATCTAATTTGCAATTTGAGTTTGCAATCATTCTGAATAGAAAAATACAAGCAGAATGCAATATACTATACAAGAATAGATCGTACATCATCTCTGATGTAAGAGATGAAAGTTGTTTATAATAACGGAGAAAATTTCCAAACGTGCGATGGGGTGCGCAAATTCATCTGCTGTTATGGGGCCAAGCCTCAATGAAAACCCCATTTGCGTTACCCTCTTAGGACTGTCTGGGGTTGGAAAAACTTCTTTAATTGAATATGTAGCTGGAGTTTATAATCCAGATGATCCGCCTATACATACAAACGGTATCGTTTTAACAGATATAATCATTGGACAGCTTAAGTATAGATTCTATGATGTTAGTGGGTTTCCTTCACATACAAGTGAATGGAATAAATGTATTGGAGACAGCGACTGCGTTATTTATGTAGTAGATCCAACCGGAATTGACGCAGGTTTAGCATTTACACAAGATACGATCAATCGTACTCGAGACAATGTTGTTTCTCGAAAATTACCTGTTTATATATTACTAAATAAAGCACCTCCAGAAACATCTCTTGAAAACATTTATTCAGTGATGGAAAAATACTTTTATAACGTCCCACACGAGTTTGGAAGGATTCATAGACTTAATAATGATGTTCTTAAGATTTTTGAATGGATTCAAACACAAGTCCAAAAGAAAACATAATTTATGATCATTACATATCAATGTTATTATATTATCATCTCCATTTTTTGTTTGTTAATTAAAAATGTTAAAATACATGTAGTTTTTTGCGATATACATATCAAGCGTCATTCAACCTTAAGTTGCTAGCTATTTTTTAGACTTTAATATATACTTATCGTCTGTACATTGCTTATTGTATATATCTTATTGCATCATAATCTTGTACTTTTGCACCGAGTGAAGTATTTCCTAGCGATAAAGACACTGAATATGGAGATAAGTAATACATTATGGATCAATTAATATTTAATCGATACGAGCGATAAAATTTTTGATCACACCAACAAAACTAATACTATTTAGATTTATTTGAGGAATTCTATGAATAAAAATTGGAGTTTCTGAGATTTGACAACAATAAAAACAAAACAAATATTTATTAGTAAAAAAATATAAATAGGCTAATTGGAATTGTAATTTCCTATCCATATGCACAAATTAATAACCTTCTCACCACAATGCCGATAGAATTTTTCTTCAACATGATGGAGCAATCTTATTTCATCAAAATCGATTTGCCTGATATCAATATTTTTTGCGAGTGCTTCTTCTGTGGTTAGCTCAGCAAAGCCGTGTGTGGGAAAATTGCCTTGTTTATGGAATAAAGAATTATTTGCGACTCGAGTACCAATTAAACATGAAAATGGGGTTTTATATATCTTGAGAATCTTATTTGTCTGCCAAGTTGCACCTACAAGATGCAACAAATTAGGATATTTTTCTGTTAAAAGGAGTGCGTTATAAAGTTTGAAGGTAAATCTATAAGGTGATGAATTTCGTTTATGAAAGTATACATCTACCATTTGCTGAAATGTAATAGTTTCGTAGCGTCTCCAAAAATCATGAGGAATCAAACCAATTTGAGAAGGATATATTAACATTTGGGTTTCAAAACCGTTAATTTGGGGTTGAGGAGGCTCAAATTGCTGAGTTTGCACAGGTATTTGCTGTACAGGTAAATTAAATTGAATTGGGACTGTCTGATTTTTAGAACCTTGATATACTTTTGTTTGTCCATCCTGGGCATAATCTGGTGGCGGGGTTGAGTAAACATGTGGGTGAAACATACTAATTGGTTGCATAACTGGGATACGCTGTGCAACGGGAAATGGATATCCAGAAGTTGAATTTTGGGTATCACGTTGAAATTGGAAATAAGGAACTTGATTAGTATTTCCAGCAGACATATTAAACTTTTTTTTGATGAAAGCTCTCAAATATTTCTTTGTGAAGATAATAACCGTCATAAATTGAGAGTATTTGTTTACTTTATTGAGGTCGCGTAAAAATTTAAAAAGAATATGAATAATAAGATGTAAGGACATGAATAAAAATGGCAAAAAATCAAATACATAATAGAAAATATACAGAAATTTTACGGGTGCAATAATTTAATCAATTGATATTATTATCCTGAGATAATATAGTATATGAAGAAAAGTTAAAATAAAATCAAATTTGATTTTTGTTTTAATTTGAAGAAATATTGAAATAAAAACATCAGGAGTTCAATTTAGCGCAAATCATTGTAAATATTGATATTTTATAAGTATGAATTGTGAAATCGAGATTGAATGAATCCAAAGAAGAAAATTAAATTTTAAAATCGGGATAATTGAAATTTTGGTGTAAATTATATCTGGATTTGAATTGGTAATTGATATTTAATAGATTCTTATTAGCTTTTTAAATCCAAATATAAAAAATAAATTTAAAGTTAAAAATTGAAAATAGGATGAATACGTATCAATTCTGATATTAATCGGATCGATAAATGATTAATATGTATGAGTGAAGTGATAAATTAGTTAGTTGCCTTTAATATTAATAAATTTATATTGAATAGTTGCTAAAAAATAAATATAACACCTTTCTATGATATATATAAGGCCTAGCTGGTATCATTTTGACAGAGTAATAAATATTCAAGTTTGCTGGATATAATTTTCATACACCTAAACGTGCTTTGCACTTTTCTTTAGGAAAATTAAATCATCTCAGAATTTGAAAAAAGGTTAGAAATCGGAGAAAATTAGTTATTGCATACAAACATTTAATTAATCGCAAATTTAGCTCAAATATTTTTGTGAGACGGAAAATTGAATATTTCCACATTAATAAATATATTTTATTTATAAAACAATACATTTATATATTAGCTAATAATTAAGATTACACTTTGTCACTTTTAAACATCGTTATTTATTTGTTAAGGGTGCACCCGTATGTACGTTTATTTGAGAGGAGGAGGATTACCCTCTCAATTTTGAGGGATTCGTTAGTTTATTTTCTCGATGAATATGCAATAAAATTTGATTTTTACCTTATCAATATACTTCATATAATATACACATGTTCATGTAAAAACTTTTTTCCAAAATCTTCAGGAATTAAGGGATTTTTGAATTTTAAGAATTTTTTCGAAAAAAAAATATTTTCAGAACAGCCTTAACGGCTAAGATTTAGGAACAATGTTAAGTATCAAAAAGAAAGGAGGTCTGATATAGACAACATATATCGTTGAAGGTTGAAAAAATCTCTAATATTTGAGCCCAAAATTTCAAATTTTAATTTTTTGAAAAAAGAGGCCACCCGTATGTACGTTTATTTGCGAGGAGGAGGATTATATTTTTGAAAGGGTGAAACATTATGAATATGTTAATTATATAATAATATGTATTATTATAAAAAAGAAAAAATAAAGCACGTTAAAATTTTTCTTTCTTGATTTTTTACAAAATCTACTTAGAATTATGCAAAATATGACTAAATAATTATAAATTTCAAGTTAAATTTTAATTTTGATAAATAATTTAAATTTCAAAATATCAAGTTCAGTTCGACTATGTATGTAGTAATTCCTCAATAAAGTGCCAAAACCCTATTAAAATATATGAACATTTTCAACATTTTAATGTTTTTATTTAAAAATTTGTTGGAATATGAGCTTCAAACAATTATTATGTAAATAAAAATAATTAAATATATGTATTTATTCGTATTACAACCGTAGTAAGTCGATTCTTCCTTTCTTCTACTGAGGTTTGAATTTGATTTCGAATTGTAAAGAGATTCAAAGGGAAAATACTAGCGGATAAAAACTACCTCCATGAAAGGGTCATAATGGAGTCAAGTTGTATTTTTTGATATGTTTTGCTTTTCGAGCCTAAATAGGTAGCCAAGATAATGCCTAAAAATAAGGTTCTAAATTCTGAAGTTTACATGATCCTCTCGTGTGCACCCTTAAGCAAACATTAAATTAATTTGATATTAACTTAATATGTTATTACTCGACCATTTAGTTTAACGACGTTTGTCAGAAAAAACAAATGACTTTTGTTAATGAACGAAAACATTAATTCAATGATAAAATACATGTGATTATAGTTAAGCATATCATTCTGAACGATTATCAAAAAGTTCTTTACTCCTCTGAAAAATTAGACTAAAAACCAAAATATATCTTTGATACTAAATAGCATATATACACCTATTCAAAACAACAATTTATTTTGTATCACTATTCAAAACTCAAATAAACATCTCAAAAATATGCTATTCAAAAAATATCCTATCAATCTTCTCAAAATATTATTTCGAATACTGTTCGACTAAATATTTTTACGACCTTTTTTAAATTCAATTCAATAGCATGCATTTTATCCAACTCAACTTTTTTCGAATGATTTTCTTATCATTTTCTGTTTACGCTTTTTACAGCATATTTTTATTAAGCATCTTATTTTCTATTAATATACTCACGTCGATAATCGATAAGATGTTATTTGAAAAATGGCAATTTTCTCTACAGATTTCCAAGTTTAATTTAAATCATATTCTACTATTTATCATTACATTTCCTATTATAAAACTTGAATTTCGTTGAATTTTTTCAAAATTCGGAAATTCATAAACTTGTTCAAATGGTTTCATTTATGATTCTAGCTTCTATATCATTAAGTCTTCCTTCACACCTCAATTGGAATCTTCAACTTCTGATTTTGATTTCTGTTGCTTTTATTGTTAACATTAAAGACTTTTCTTATATTTTTAACTTTTTAGTCTTACACTAATTCTGTTACATACATACATAAATTCCCAATCGAATAAATTACCAATAATCTGGTTTCCGATTCGTCCTGTTCTAAACTGAGTTGAAATATTAAGATTCAGTGTCCAACTAAAACATTTTCTATTCTTATCAATCAATTCCATGAGCGATTTTTTCTTCGAATTGATTGATTTTTAACAGACATTAAACAAACATATCTGACATTTGGTATCTTTCTTGCCACTGTTTTTTTTATTCTTCGCATAATATTATTTTCACAACATTCAAAAACTGTTGGCAATACCATTTTATTTGGCAAAACTCGGAAGATCTTATGATAATAACTATCTTTTCCCTTACTGTAAAAGATCTACTGTCATAAGTAATATTGAAGAATATCAAATTGTTTTTTAAATACTTTGACAGTATCATTCATTAAATTATTGGAACTGAACTCTACTTCGTTTAAAGAAAGTAGAAATTCATCAAAGTTTCATGGAGGAGGAAACTCAGGATGATTTCAAAATACAAAAAAGAACTGAATAAACGCAACATTGATGCATACATTTCAATTGTAAATGAGGTTGATATAGAAAATAAGTCTATTGATGAAAATTATTTATCTGATCTAAATACTTGTCTTGAAATGTCAAAAGGAAATGATGAATCAGAAATAACAGATGCAATATGCTGGATCAATAAGATGTTTTCACATATATTCACAGAATGTCCAATTGAATTAATCTTGGCCTGATTGATTTTTGTAAATCAGAGCATGAAACATTAAAGAGTGAATCATTCGACCTGTTAATAAGATTTTTGCATTCTAAGCGATGTGAAGAAATAATTGAACCTTTACTAAATTACAGGATCATAGATATGATAATCCCATATTTTTGAAAACATTGAAAACACACACCATATCAATAACAACTCAAAAGCACGCATTCTTGAAGATTTACTTGATTCGATGTTAGAATATGATTAATTAATATATTATTTATATATACATGATAATATTTATTCATCAATACTTCAATATTTGATTGTTGTTCAAACGAACTAAAAAACAAAATTTCTTTCCAAAAATAAAACACTCTTTTTTCCATTTCCATTTCTAGACAGATTATAGTCAGATAAACTAAATTGTAGGATGAATCTCTGATCTTTAAACTCAATGAAAAAAATTGAATCCTAAATTTTCTAAGAAATGTAAAATCGAAGGAAGTAAGGATGCAATACAACAGAAAACAGTTACAAAAACCCACTTAATGGTCTGTGAAAAACAAAATAATATTTTCATTTGGGTTTTTCTTGTAATTGCGTATGCTTCCCAGCAATTTTTTGTATCTTTGCTCTTAGTGTAGATAAATTTTCTTTTTCGGTTGGATTGATCCAGAGTTCAATCAATGAATTTTCTCTTGTGGAGATAAAAGCGATGCAAACAACAGATTTGAAATTATGCAGCTGATTTGACATTATGCCAAGTGCAATATGATAAAATCTCGCTTCAAATTCTAGACTTTCCGGACTTGAATCACATAAACATTGTGAATTAACGATAAATTTCGAATACAGTGGCTTTTGATTGCTTGTGTCAAATGGTATCATACCTTCCCTAAGAATTAAATAAGTTCCGCGTCCTTGTATTGAAGATGGTTGTTCTAGGGAAGTCATAAGTTCCCAAAAACCTTCGTAGTCAAGAACAGTTCCAATTTCTTTCATAGATAACGAAACTTGTGTTGCTTTTAATGATTCTTCATCAAAATCTTCTTCTTCAGCTGATTCAAATGGAACAGATGGATGTTTAATAGGAGGAACGCTACTCCAAATCGTCCAGCCCGACTCAAAATCAGAGCCATGTGGATTAATCGATTTCTTTTTTTTCGTCATTTGACAAATTTACGATTTACATTTTTCAGATTCTTTTATACTTTTGAGCAAAATATTGAAGTTAAAGAAATAAATAAAACACATTTTGAGGTCATCCAGATGTGATCGTGTTGAAGCTTTTTACTATTTCCGCCAAATATTAAAGATTTTTAATCAATTTTCTAATAATCTAAAGCCCTTGGATTGCAATAAGCTTGCAAAACGTGTATAATGCATAGTTTTGAATTGAAATTAATAATGCCATATATTAGTTGTTTTGAATTGAAATTAATATTGTTATAAATGAGTTTTTTTCCGCTGTCAAGAACGTAAACGTTATTTATTTCAATTACCAATATAACACTCAAGATAGACATCATGAAAAAATGTTTTTTTTTATAAATCAATTTCTTTATATATACTAACAAAAATACACATACAAAATTATATTAAATAGGAATAGAATTAGCTACACATGATCTTGTAGCATCACTTAGTACTTCAGCAAAGCCTTTAGAGAGAGCATCTTTGACATTCTCAAAATTATTTGTTTGTTTTGAAAATCCAAAAATGTTGTGACCAACTTCTTCTGTTGATTTCTTCACACAGCTCAATGTTGCATCCGAAAGGACATCATTAAATCCTTTAGTCAACATCTCAGTAACGGAATGGAACTTGTCTTTCTCTTGAGTTATGAAGCTTTGAACAGATAATTTCGTTGCAACAGAAACGGAGTCTTTTATTGATTGGTAAAGACCAACAAAGAACTCTGGAGGCAGTTCAAGAACTTCTATCTCAGAATAGTAATAAGATTCTGAACTCTTCTTTGCACTGTTTTCACTGATTTGTTCCATTGTCCCCGTTGTATCATTTGAAACAATTTTTATTTGTTTCATTTTTTCGGAAGATGAAACATCATATTTTACTGGTTGTTCTGATGTCGAAGTTGATGATTGAACATCTAAAGAGGCAGTATCTTTGCTTAGGAATGACGTTGAAATCTTGATGGCCGATGAAACTGAGTCTGAAATGACTTTTTCAAAATCAAAATCAGAAATCTTGACAAAAATTTCTTCTTTCGGTTTCATTGTTATATGTGAAGGATCAATTCTTATTTTTGAACAATTTTCAACAGCATTTGAAACAGCATCTTTCAAAACATTTTCGAAATCAAAATCAAATTTGAAATCTTCTTTTTCTTCTTGAGTTAATGTTGTGGATTTTGTTGAAATTGATGCTGGAATATCTAAAAAGTTTACACTGTTTATTTCCAGACTCAATTTTGTCTCATCTTCCTTTTCAACCATGTTTTCTTCTGATTTAGGAGATTCCAATTCATTTTTAGGTGAATCAAGTTCGTTATTCAGTGTAATTGATCTTGATTTCGGTTGAGATATTTCTAATTTTGGAGAATCAGCTTTTGGAGTTGTGAAATCAACTTTCGGAGAAGGAAGGGGAGATTGGGGAACAACCTCAATGCTTTGTGTTGAAGAATCAGAAGATTCTGGTTTCTTCAATGAATCAGAAGTTAATGGAGATAAATCAAAGTTGGCCAATACCTCTTCCATGCTTTTAGTAATTGCTTGGAATGTTAAATTGGTCATAGGAGAGTTGATTGCTTCATTAATTAATGCAAATAATGTTGCAGTTAAGGACATATCAAGTTCATCTATCTCTGAATTAGCTGCTGTAATACTTTCATCAATAGTAAACATGAATTTGTCATTACTGTCTGTTTTTGTTTCTTCTAAAGTTGGCAATTCAATTGGTTCTAAATTCGGCCTGAATGGGGCCATATCTGCTGCGGAAAATATCAAAGGAATCTCTGTAAACTTATTTTCTGCCTTCTTTTCGAGCTCAATTGTAGGAATCGAAGAATTATTTGGAGATTTAATGTCTTCAAAAGCAAATGGTGAATCGTCGGATTCTTCCTCACTTAGTTCGGCCAAAACTTCAGTCTTAGTTTGTGGTTCATCCAAAGTAATGTCAATTGTGAAATCTCTATGGCTTAATCCTTGATTTTCAGGCATATTTTCACTGCTTGATGTAGGGGTAATGGACAGTTCTCGAGTTTTGACTTCTTTTTGAATATTATTTTCATATGATTTAGATTCCTTTTGATTTTCTTCCAAATCAGTTGTTTCTTTACTTGTATCATCACCTTTGCTCGACAAACTTTCTGAAATTGAGTTCAAATCCAACAAATTTTGATTTTGATTTTCATTATCGGTTGAATCTTGGTTTTTATCAGAATTATTTGGAGTCAAGATATTATCTTTATCAACAGAATCGTTTTGTACCTGGTTTTGAGTTTCTTCTTCGAGATTGAATCCAGAATTTTCAGAATCAATAGAATTCTGATCTTCTTCTTCGAAATTTTCATTGAAAGGAATATAAAATGAACTTACAGCATCTTCAATAACCTTATTAATACAATCCGGAATAAGATTATCCAAATCCTTTGAAATCTGCTTTGTATCAAATTCAAATTTACTTGGAACTTTGAAAGAACTGACATCTTTGATATCCAAAATAGGAGATTCACTCTCAAAGATGATATCAGTGTTAATTGGCGAAAATTGGAATAAACTTTCAGATTCAGGTGCCGGAAACTCTCTCGGAATTAAGATTGAGCTTTCAGATTCATGTGCTTCAGTTTCTCCAAATTCAGAATGAGAAATGGCTTGAAAGAAACCATCCATTAAATCAGAAGATTCCGAAATTTCAGGTTCATTTATCTGCGAAAATTTCGTTTGCATAGTAATATCAAATGCCTGAATAGTCTTGGAGTAAATCAGACCAACTTCGACTGGAATTGCAGAAGTTAATTTGTCGTAACATTCTCTTGGGACATCGAAGAATATTGGCATGAATTTGGCTTCAGGATCTGTAATACTGAGATACTCAAATGGCATTAATTGAAGGTATTGCTTCGCTGATTGCAAATTTCTGTAAGAAACAACGTCGTTTACAGAATCCATCGAGATATTGGGCATAAATTGTGGCATTCTGAAATCAAGTAAGTCAGAAAAATCTGTTTTCAAGTCAAATTCAAGTGAAGGAATTTCAATTTTCAAAATTTGAGAGGTTTTACGGTAGACCACCCAGGAATAAAAGAATTTTCTGATGTGTTCGTATTCATCATTTTTCTTTTGGCTAAACATTCTGAAAGCTTTTTGAATCGTTTTTGCACTAGAAACAGCAGATTTTTCCATGTGAACAGCAACGAATGATTCAAAAGTCTGCCTGGTGATGTTGCTATAAAGCTTGTTCGCTTTTGCATTGAAATTCCAAATTCTGAATTTTTTAAGAAGAAATTTCTGAGATCTAAGCGAATCTAGCTTTTGTTTACTTTCTTTTAGACTATTTATTACTAATTTATGCAAAATCTTATCAATAAGATCAAAAATGCGTAAAGAAGAAGAATATTTTTCATAAGCTAATTCCAAATCAGAAATTAATGAATTATAAAGAATTCTTGATGAGAAATCAAGCCATTTGTCTTTCATTTCAGCTTTGTAAACATACAAATCATGTTCATCATAAATTTTTTGTAATTTCAACTGTGTCATGAAATAATTCCAGTTATAGCTTGCTGTAAGATGTCTATTTTCTCGGTTTAATGCGTCAATATATGATCTATGAAGTAATTCATCGCAAAAATAAAACCAATTTTGTTTCGAATCAACATATCTTTGCATAATTGTTAAACTCGCATCATATTCGTTATTTAAAAGAAAATCAGAGAATTTAACCCAATTATTTCGCAATTTTTCTTTCCTTATTTTGGATTCTTGTATTAATTGCTTCCAAGCATTAAAACATTCAATAAACATATTCATTTCTGCCTTTTCTTGTATTGCTGACATGAAATTCGCCAAAGTAATGATTCTTGTATATTTTTTATAGAAATTTAACCATAAAAATGGAGTTGCTGACCTATATACTTCGTATATTTGCTGCTTCTTTAGATTGATATTGACATTATGATATATTTGACGCCATTTTAGATGATTTTTCCATTTTCTCATTGCGATTTTCTTTGGACAATTATAAAATTGTATATATTTTTGTGATAGGCTTAATATATCGTGCGCTGCTTTGATGAATTTTTTGTGTTTTTTGTATTTCAAAAATTGTTTCCATTTATCTCTGAAATACTCCTTTGATAGAGCTTGATTTACTTGGCTACTTAATTTCTTTACTTCTGAAATGGTATTTTTGGGCCTATTCATATAGAAGAAAGAAAAGTTGCCGTTTTGAAATTAAAAATAAAATTATCAAACATAATTTTTTATTTTGATTTTTGTTCGGCATTAAAAGCAAAAATAATCATATACATGAGAATTACACTTTCCCGACATTTTTGGGTCGCTTCGCGCCCCTGACAAAATACCGGACTCTCTCAGACTCATTTTCCTATATATGTTGTATGATAAATATACTGCATGAGATTGTTTGAAAAGAGGATATTATAGCTTATGGAAACTTGCGTACTAAATGCTACTGTTAAGATTTCAAAGGCACAGCTTGGTTTTAAATAAAAAAAGGCCGTAACAGGGATATTTTTTATTGGAATATTTCACGCTGATTTTGATAGTTGCTGGTGCACCAGTTTTTAAATCCATAAGTTTTTCAAAATTTAATTTCCTGTAGATGTATAATGTTGATCTATGAAATCATAGTATATATTTTTTCTGCTAAAAGGCTAACTATTTACTATATACTTCAATTATCTAACAAATATTTGAAGAATTTTGCATCCATTTCTAAGTATTATGTTTTAGCTTTTCAATATAAGATAAGGAAATATATGTAAATTATATAAACAGTTAAATTAATTAATTAATCATTTTGAAGTTTCAAATTCAATTTGATTTAATTTATCATTTTTTTTAGTTCTAAATTGGTATCTTTGCCTATGCAAGTTAAAAACACCATTTTGTCGTATAAAAGCCAGACACAAATTATTCAGTGGAATTACAAACAAATTGAGAAGTTTACGAAAGCTCTGGCCTTTCGTTTTCGATGTCTACAGTCCAGACCGAACGTGCCTTCCAGAAGCAGCCACAGCTCTTCCTCGCCTCCAAGAAGCATGCCAATGCTGAGAAGAAGCAGCGTTATGTTAAGTCCATCGGCCTCAAGATCGAAACACCAAAGACAGCTGAGGAGCGTGAATACATCGATGCCAAGTGCCCATTCACAGGTACAGTCTCCATCCGTGGCCGTGTCCTTCGTGGTGTTGTCGTTTCTACAAAGATGCGCCGCACAATCATCATCCGCCGCGACTACCTTCAATGGATCCGCAAGTACAAGCGTTTCGAGAAGCGCCACACAAAGATCCCAGCTCACATTTCCCCAGCTTTCCTCGTCAAGGAAGGCGATCTTGTTACAGTCGCTGAATGCCGCCCACTTTCCAAGACAGTCCACTTCAACGTTATCCACGTTAAGCCAGCTGCTGTCGGTGCTGATAAGAGACAATTCCGTGTCTTCTAAAAAGCTCCTCTAAATTTTAGAGATTTTTATTCAATAATTTTACTTTGATTTTTTTAAAAGCCACATCTAGCTTTCTCATGTTTTCACTGCGGAAAGCATATAAATAAGGAAAAAAGAATAGAGATTTTTAAATTTCATTCAATTTATAAATATAAAAAACAAATATAAATCTATATATCTAAAGCAATACATCATCATCTCCAAAAATATAATCATATGCACCCTGATCATCAACATTACTTTCAGGTCCGATATTAGGCTGCAGGGAATGATTGTAAGTATTACTTTGGTCGATTTGAGGCAAAACTTGCTTTTCTTCCTTAAACCACGAAGATGGCTGTGAAGGAATGATTCTTAAGTTCGAGTAAAGTGTTGAAGAATCAATAGTCTTCATGTAATTCCTGAGGGTATGACTTAGTTGGTCGGAACAGCTTTCATCTAAAAATGCGATGACTCCGTTGATCAAATCTATTGTATAAGCATTAGCTGACCTACTTATGTATGGAAGGATTTTTGTAAAGCAGTTTGAGAACGTATCGTAGCTGTTATTCTTACTTGTAGCGCAAATTAGCATCGAACAAAGAGATGTGCTAATAAAATTATCACTTTTGTCGCCCATACTGATCAGCCTGGAAAGGAATCTTGAATGGATGACATCACTTGAATGTCTCAGTGATGGAGTGATGAAATCTGAAACATTCGGGAAAAATTCAAGGTTCATCATATTTTCAACAGCACATTTAGCTATATGTTCGTCCTGGCATACAACTACCCATGCATATTTAATTAAGTCTGAAGTTTTGCCGAGCGAAGAATTTTGGAATAAATTTTGAAAAAGTGACACGAGTTTTTGGTAATGGTCATCTGGACGATTTGGGACAATAGAAACGTAAATTCGGCCTTCCATGCGGTAGCATGGCTTGTTTACGAGCCAAGAACACCATACATCTACATTTTGCCATGAAACATTCTGCAGGAAGTACTCAAAAACAGCATTAAAATCATCCTGGCGAAGTTTTTCAGGAAGAATTGAGTAGATAAAAGAGGCGTAATTAGCGGATGCGACGCTTTGGTCCCCCATCTGTTTGTTTCCATCGTTTCTGTTGATATCTATTGGCATCGCGCAGTGATTTAGATGCTTTGAGATTAATTCGATCAATGTTGAGAGTTCTTGACCTTCTAATTGCAATACATCGTCAACAAACTTGGGATTCAAGAAGTCTGAAAGCGAAAACAAGTTGCTACGGCTTGTTATTAATTTGAATAAACAATTCATGAGGATATTTTCGACTTCTGGAAACGGATCTGCAATAATCTTATGGATTAATGAGTAGGGAGTCATTAGTTTCCATTCAAATAACCTTTCAAAAATTTGACAAAGGGATTTGCAACGGAAACAAAGGGATTTTTCTCTGTTTTCAAACAGTATCGATAAGAATGTCTTGATTATGAAGTCTTTCGGATTGTCAATGAGAACAGAATATGAGAAATCCCAAATAAATCCAGCAATGTCATCGGCAGAAGCTCCTGGGAAGGCAAGAAGGTCTTTAAGGAACTGTCCTATTATTGTTTTGAAACTATGCTGGTCGTTTACCTGTAAAATTGCATTGTAAACCTGTAATGAGCAATATGAAGAATGTTTTTGGAAGAATTCAATGGCATAGTGCTTAGAAAACATAATAGGATCAAGCAAATCGCGGTAATACTGGGGTATTGGCTTCTCCATTTGATTTAATTTATACTCAAAAATCTGTTTCAGCGGAAGAATGTTTGAATTAACAGGTTTCTTGCCGATATCGAAGAGTAGACCAATAGCAAGTCCGAAATAGTTGACTTCTATGAGGATATCTAGGGAAGATGAGTTCTTATTCTTTTCCGCGATGCTTCTGACAACATTGTAACGTATAACAGGCGGTAGACGCAATACTTCATCGATTGTGATATGGGAAAATGTCATTTCTGTCATAAATTTTTTGAGATAATGCTCGAATTCTTCGGAAGGATCGTATTTTTGAGCTCGAGCGATATTGCTTTCAATGGTATTTTTATTCTGGCTAACACATGGCGTGTTCATGAAGATAGAAGCGTTAATAGAGTTATCTTCGTTTAAATAAGACATAAAACGCTCAAATGAGAAGACTCCTCTCTCCTGTAATTCAGTAGAAAGCGATTCTGCATAAGGAATTGCATCAACGTGCTTTCTTAAAAGATCTATATATCCATGTAGAGGAAATTCGACTTTCATCTGCGTAATTATTTCGGCAATGATAAACGCTTGAACAGTGTTCGAACTATTGAAGCTAAATATCGTTTCACACAAGTTTAAAATTAATTTTTTGTAATCTTTCTTTGAAGACATCTGAATTACAGTTTTAATGGCCGTAATAGTTTTGTTAATATCTTCGAATGGGTAATTTTGTATTAAAACGTTTTGTACTGGTGCAATATATTTTAATGTCTTAATAAGCTTAGAAACGCGATCAATAACATCGGGTGTAAGAAAACTCATTAATTCGTTGAATATGTTCAGGTCTTTGAAGTAATAATACGTGGAAATTTGAACCATTTGCGTTTTAGATGAAAAAATTTTAATTGCGTAGTGATTTTTGAATTCTTGTTTCATTCTTGACTCTGTTAAGGCATATTTCAATATTGGAAATGATGATAAAATTTCGTTAATAAATATTTCGTAATATTTTGGATGAAACTTATCAATTATATACCCTAGAAGATCTCTATGAGGAACTAACTTTAAATGGTAACATGAATAGCAAAGTCTAATGAAGAGGTTTCGGTAAAGATCGTTGTTTAAATCTTTCAATCTTTCAATGGAAATTAATTTCATGTAAAATTCTTTAGGAGTTATCCTTAATTCATGAAAGAGTTTGAATAAGGCAAGTCCTGCTCTTGGACCTGGAATTTTCTGCTCAAGAATCAAAGTTAACATTTCTTCAATATGTATTTGAGCGATACTATCAATTTGCATTACGCTGATTATATTAACTTCTGGTTGCATAAATAAATCTTTAAAAAGAGCGATGTTTGCAATTTTTGGTTGAAATTTTGAATTATTTGCTCTATCTTTTTGGAGTTGCATAGTCCTGGACAAGTTGTTCGTAATTTTGCTCATCTTCATTGATAAATCCCTATCACTAAATAAAGAATCCAATGTTGAAGTCGCAATATTCGCATCTTGTTGTCCAATTTCATCAGGAGGATTTGGACACGAATATGGTGTCATTATGATTGATTTTAATATATCAGACCCATCATTATATGACATCCAAATTAAATTTTCTTCAATTGATAAAAAAAATGCACTTTTAAGGTTCTTATAAAAAACGAAAAAAGTAACTAAAAATTGAATATGCCGACGTTTTTATTCCTAGTAAAACAAAATAAAGCAAAATTAACTGAAGTTAATAAAATAATTAAGATACTTTGAGGATATGGTCCAAGTTTGTTTTGAAAATATGATAGCCTTTCATTGGTTAATGGAATGAAAAGCGTAGGTAAGACTGTGAACTAATTACCTAATTTTGGGTAGGAGCGCTGGTAAACAAAGGAATATTAGGCGACCTGGTCCGATTTCAATGAAGTCTGCTATGTGTGCCATTCTAAGATATTGTTAGAAAATTTTGACATGTATTGATTGAGTTAAATTAGTATAAGTAGTGATTTATATATACTTTCTCCTGACCAAAAATATTAGCTTTTGATTTTGTGTGTCAAAAAAATCGAGAGAATGTCAGAAAGTGGTCAATACACCCTTAAGTTCTAATGAAATTCATTATATTAAATATCAGAAAAAGAAATAATAGCATCCTAGAATAGAACATTATATTTTTGCACTATGAGAAAGAAGAAGTTTGGTAATTTCTTCATGACAAATATTTTTTGCTGCAAGATGAAGAGCGGTATATCCATCTTTATTTTTTTTTCATTGATATTTGCATGTACCTTATTAGGATGAAGAGAATGCATACCAAATAAACATCCCACCAACCACCAAATATGATGAATCATCAAATAATCTAGGAAGTTGATCATTAATGCCGGATTCACTTTCATTGAATTTTTAATTTTACTCTGCTTTATTTAATGAAATTCGTTTTTCGACTGAAATTTCGATGGATACATCAGCTTGTTTCCAATACTAAAGAAACAATTTGGCTTTCCAACAAATATACTTTTAATCAAACTACATACAATCTGAGCTATTAATCAGAAACAATTTTTAATTTTGACAACGAAAATTGGGAATTTATGTTTATAGAAAATCATTAATATGTAGTATACATAATATTGAAAATAAGCATAGTAAATTCCACAAAATCGAAATCATACCCTTCAAATGTCTCAAAGGAATCTGTGCAAAGGAATGATTTTTGTTTTTAAATTAATTAACAGGTGTATTTTATCAGTAAGATTTTGGGTAAAAACCAGGTTCGATGCCACAAGGCGTCACAGTGTTATATGTTGAAAAACGATCAATTAATGCGCAAAATATGTAGCCATCTTTAAATTTGAGTGTAATAGTGCAGTAAATTAACATTAAATTATTATAAGATGTTTATTTTGTAATAAAGTCTACGTTAAAATATCTTTTTCAATATAGAATAATTATTCTAAAAAAGAATTACTCGACATTTGTAGCACCATGTTCAACTAAGAATTCGACAATTTCTTTTGAATTAGCTTTGATTGCGAGACTAAGATGGCATCTATTACTATCGAGAGAATTTCATCAAATAATATTAAACATGATAGGAAAGATAATGTGATTAAACAATGATAAATATGAAGATAAAGATAATGCCATAAAACAATGATAGATATGAAAAGAATGAGAATTCCATGAAATAATGATAAATATGAATAATAAGAGAATAAGCTTCATATTAACATCAGCACCATGCTCAACTAAAAATTGGACAATTTCGATTGATTTATTATTGATGGCAATACTTAGAGGGCTTTCATTAATATCAAGAGAACCCAATAAAACAATGTTATATATGAAGAAAAAAAGAATACAATAAGAAAATAATCAATATGAGAAGATAAAGAATTCTATAAAACAACGATAAATATGAAAAGAAATAGAATTCCATAAAATATAAGGTTAATATCAAATGAAAGATAATGTGATAAATCAATGATAAATATGAAAAGAATGAGAATTCCATAAAATATTGAAAAATATGAAGAGAAAGATAATGAGATAAATCAATGATAAATATGAATAGAAAATGAATTTTATAAAATAATGAAAAATATGTAGAGAATGAGAATGTAATAAAAAAATGAAAAATATGAAGAGAATGAGAATCCAATAAAATAGTGATAAATATGAAAAGAAAAAGAATTTCATAAAATAATGATGAAAATAAAAAGAAAGAGAATAAGTTTCTTGTTAACATCAGCACCATGCTCAATTAAGAATTGGATAATTTCGATTGAATTATTTTTGATGGCAATACTAAGAGGACATTCATTAATATTGTGAAAATTTCATTAAACAATGATAAACATGAAGAGAAAGAAAATCCAATAAGACAATGATAAACATGAAAAGAAATTGAATTTTATAAAACAAATATAAATATGAAGCGAATGAGAATTGGATTAAGTAATGATTAATTTGAAAAGAAAGAGAATTGCATAAAACAATGATAAATATGAAGAAAAAGATAATGTAATAAAACAATGATAAATATGAAAAGAAAGACAATATCATAAAATAATGATAAATATGAGGAGAAAGAAAATCAAATAAAACAGTGATAAATATGAAGAAAATGATAATGCCATTAAACAATGATTAATACGAAAAGAAAGATAATGAAATAAAACATTGATAAATATAAATATAAATATAATGTTATAAAACAATGATAAATATGAAGAGAAAGATAATGTTATAAATCAATGATAAATGTGAAAAGAAAGAAAATCCAATAAAACAATGATAAATATGAAGAGAAAGATAATGTAATAAAACAATGATAAATATGAAAAGAAAGTGAATTCCATAAAATCATGATAAATAAAAAAACTAAGAGAATAAGTTTCTTGTTAACATCAGCACCATGCTCAACTAAGAATTTAACAATTTCTATTGAATTCACTTTAATTGCAAGACTAAGCGGGTATTCATTGCTATAGAGAGAATTTCATCAAATAATGTTAAACGTGATAGAAAAGAGAATGACATTAAATAATGATAAATATGAAGATAAAGATAATGTCATAAAACATTTATAAATATAAAGATAAAGATAATGTAATAAAATAATGATAAATATGAAGAGAAAGAAAATAAAATAAAACAATGATAAATACCCTACGTTCCCAACTTCTGGAAAACGGTTTTTCACCCTTATGATCAGTTTCAGACACTTTGGGAGTCTCCCAAACTTTGATATTTTGCATTATGATAGAGAAACGTGTCTAGTTTAACGCACAGTTGTTTTAAAGGCAAATGATGATATCACATGAAATTATCAAATTATCAAATTTTGAAGTACCAGTCCAAAGGGTTAATTAGATCCTACACAGATGTGCGATAATGAAACATATGTGTTCTTGATTTGAGAAGTCCTACTGATAGAGGTATGAATCTCACAGCTTTGTGTGAGTGTGTCTGACACTTGTATAGAGTGGAATATGCGCCGACATATATTATATAATAACATGTAGTTGATAATTATGAAAAAATAGAATTCGATGCGAATGATATTGAAAGTTGTTTTGTAATTTGATATTTTTCTTATATGTGTTAATTAGTAAATGGCTTGTTTGTTGTGATTACTGTGAAAAATGAAAGGTATTTTAAATTAAAAAATTGAGATTTTGAGATATCTCTAGAATTAAGAATTTATTATGTATTTGACTTTTATATAACTATGTGTAAAGGATCTCGATGTCTATATGCTTTAAATAAAATTAAATAAAATGAGATAAAAAATTAAAATGGACAAGAAGATATATGGAAATGTAATTTGTATTGTGTTGGTTGTTGGCAAAATGATTTTAATACAGATTTAAGGATTTGGAATGGATTTGAAATTAAATGATTTTAATTCAAGGAGTAATAAGATTTTGAACTGGTTTTTATTTTGTGAATGTAAACTCCTTCCATAGGATATGTATTAGAAAGATCAATGTCAAACTTTTTGAAAGAATTGTTTTTTTGTTGAGCGATTTTCTCATATTTAATAATATATTTAAGTTGGCGTATCTTACGCCCTTCCAAAAATATGTATTAGAAAGATAAATTTTAAACTTTTTGAAAGAATTGTTTTTTTGTTGAGCGATTTTCTCATATTTAATAATATATTTAAGTTGGCGTATCTTACGCCCTTCCAAAAATATGTATTAGAAAGATGACTTATAATTTCATAAATTATTTTGTCCCGACGGTTTGAGCGGTTATCAGAATGGTTGCTTACACAATGCGTCAGCAAAATGTCGGTTGGGGTGCCCTTCTTGGCCTCCTGAGTACTCACCAAGATACCCCAGCTCCCGCAAAACACCTCCCTTAGGTGCGCATTACCTGACGGCATTATTTTGCAATTATTTCAAATTTTTTAGATGTCTTTTGTTAAAGTTTGTTAACTAAAGACTTGAAAACAGCTTACCGCTTCAAGCTGCTCTCTTCCCGGTTCCTCTGCCGCAATCTTCTGTTTGATTGTGCGCAAAGCTCTCCTCCTTGTGAACTTTTCCTGACAGATACACCTGGGAGACAGCATTCGGACATCTTACCGCTTCAAGCTGCTCTCTTCCCGGTTCCTCTGCCGCAATCTTATGTCTGATTGTGCGCAAAGCTCTCCTCCTTGTGAACCATGGCTGATAGAAAGAACTGAAAGACAGGATAGGAGGAACATGCCGGTTCAAGTTAACTTGCAATATGCTTCTGATTAGTGATTTTAGATGAAAGATTAGCGAAATCGCATTTAATTTGGATAGAAGGATTCAATTTTATGAAGCAGGCTCGTAGAAAATATGCAGGAATAGCACAATCTTTTGCAATCACAACGCGATTGCAAAACTTCGACCGACAAGAGTGCACAATACACTCTTGTCGGTCTGCATGTCTCATTCTGGGAGACATTGTCACTGCATGGATGAAAACAGACAAGATCTGACTGAATTCATACTTGTTTCTATTTCTATACTGTTTTTCAGGCTGCCAATTGAGTTATTAAGAGAAAATTTGGATGTTGACATTCTTTTGTCACTTTATGATGCTGATTTATCAGAGAAATCGTTATTGATACTTAAAGACATCCTAACTGCGCTTAATCCTTAAAATTATTTTGTTTTTTTGTTATAAAAAAAATATATTTATAAAATATCTTCAAAATTGATTGTAGGAAAAGCATCAATTTCAGATAATCGTAGCCTTTCTTATAGTCAATATACATTGTAACATGGGTGATTTCACCCAGCAATAAGGGGCTCAACTGTTGAGAGTTTTACATGGCATTTGACGACAAATGCCATGTAATTTATTCTCAGTGTATTGAATGTTTTGCGGACAAGTCATATAAAAATGTAATCGGAAATAAATGAATATTCATAATTATCATTATGTGGATTCCATAAATTTACCACTTTACAAATTTTAATGAGTCAGGGAATTGTTCTGAACTACGAATATATTGGCTCACATATCAAAGATTATATTGAAGCGGATAATCTCTTTAGCACATTCGAAGTCGAAGATATCGAATCAATCATGAAATTCGCGAATTTAACACCTGACGAGTTCAATTCTCTTCTTGCGCAATCCCATTCTGTCATTTCAGCACGTGAATTGTATGCCTGCACTCGAAATGCAAATGTTTCAATAAACAACCTACAAGATGCCGTTTCAACACTTAAATCAGTTCAAAAGTACATGAAGATGCGAGTTTTCGAAGGAATTATTGTCTTTTTAGAACAATTGCAAAAGGATCAATCCATTACAGCACATAAAATCGAAAAACTTCAAGCAGATTTAATTCGGATCCAAAAAGAAAAAGAAAACGTTGAGAAAGAGATGCAAACTCTTCACTCTCAACTCAAAGCGAAAGAAGGAAACGATTTACCAAAAGAATTTCTTTCGAAAATTTCGGAACTTAAAAATTCTGAAGATTTCAAACAAATCTACAAATTCTTTGATGAAATTTCAGAAAAAGGAAATCAAAAAATGATGCAAAAAGCATGTGACGAAGAACTTTGGAAAAAACAAAATCCTGACTTTTTGGGTACAAATGTACTTCATTTTGCATCTGTTAAAGGAAATCTGAGACTTGTTAAATCTCTCATTGAATGTGGCTGTGACAAAGAAATCAAAGACAAAGATGGTCGTACAGCTCTATACTGGTCATCAATAAGTGGTTATCTTGAAGTTGTTAAATATCTTATCTCAGTTGGAGCTAATAAAGAAGCAAAGGATAATGGTGGACGTACTCCACTCATTGAGGCATCAGATTATGGTCATCTTGAAGTTGTTCAATATCTTATCTCAGTTGGAGCTAATAAAGAAGCAAAGAATAATTATGGACGTACTCCACTCATTTATGCATCATATAATGGTCATCTTAAAGTTGTTCAATATCTTATCTCAGTTGGAGCTGATAAAGAAGCAAAGGATAATGATGGAGAAACAGCACTTGATAAATCGAAAGGAGCAGTAAGAGAATATTTATTATCAATTGCAAGAAAATAATTTGTTGATGTATTTGGTTATTATCTCTCAATCATTGTTACAAAAGATAAAGTTAATATTTTTTCCCTATATATAATATAAGTATTTGTTTCCTTAAAACTGGAGCATACTGAGACTGTAAATTTCTTTATTTTATAGGTGGTTGAGCTGAATCATAGTTGCTCAATTTGAATCATAGCGTGCTCTCAATTTTGTTTGAATCTTTGAAATTTTTATATGTGCTATAATATTTCCTAAATTATTTTCACCTCGAATTTTTTATTTTGTAAAAAAATTGAATTGTGGTAAAAAAGAGTAGTGGCAATTGCTTTTTTTTTTTGAAAAAACTTTTAGAAACTATATGAGTGGAGTAGATCCATTATTACGAGATAGTTGCCAATTGTAGTAATAAATTATTCTACACCAATCATTTCTTTTATTTCTGGCATGACGAGCAGAAAGGAAGCGATCAGTAACCCTAGGAAAAAAGAAGAGGGTGTTACTTTTCGTGCATGTAACTTTTAGCAAAATTAAAAATTTTGTAACCAATTGATTAATCAGAAAAATAGCATCAAATAAAATAATTTTGCTATTTTGACACCGCCAGAAAAGAAAAAAAAAAATCGAAACGAATTAAAAAATGCTTTCAGGCGGATATTATCAAGGAAGTGGTGATCCACAAGATCCTCAACAGCAACAGCCGCAACCACAAAGTGGAAATCCATTCATGTCACCAGAAGTTTTTAAATATGCCCAAATGTTAACAGGTGGAATTCAATTACCACCTCAATTTCAACAATTAAATACAGATAAGCTTACTCAACAATTCCAGCAAAGTCAGTCCTTAATTCCACCTTATTTTGCAATTACAAGAGCTTCTTTTCTTCATAAAATTAAGAATTTAGCATGTCCATTTATGTTAAGCAATGGTCTCGCTCTGTACCTGAAGGACAAACATGTTCTCCAATTGATAATCCAAACGCTCCAGAATTATACACACCATTAGTTTTTACGTTTATTTTCATCAATCACATCTTCATAAAAGGAGCTGAGAAGGGCTTTTCAATGGACTTCTTATACATCTGTATTCTTAAATTTATCTGCATCTTGTTCTTCGAGATAGTAATTTGCAAATTATGCTTCTCCAACTTTGGTATACAAGGAACATATCCAATTCTCTCCCTTCTTTCAGACTTTTCATCGATATCATTTTATCTTACAATTATTTCACTATTTTCCTGGAACAGAGCCCTTTTCTACGTATCTTACTTATACTGTGCTGCAGCAGCCTTCCTTTGGACCCTCAGAACCTTAAATAGTGAACAATGCATGGCTCAGCGCCAAACACAGAGTACACAAATAATTACTTACTTCCTGCTTATTTTGGCAGCAATACAAATTATTCTCTTGTACTTGTTGGCTCCAAAATGCTACTAATTGAAAAAAATATTCCAAATTTTGTGTTTATTCGTTGATTATTTTATTTTTTTATTCTTTATATTGTAGGATAATAAATTTATTATTATTGTATCTGATTATTTCTTATTTATTTCCTTAATTTATTAAATAATTTAAGCATCTGGGTGAAAATAATATTACCTTCGACTATTTTATTGTTATTGCTTCATTTCAAATATATGAACTTAAGCAAAATTCATAAATTTTATCGGAAATCTTTGAGAACATAGTTTTCCAAAGGGTATATTACAAAAGTGTGCTTTGTAAAGTTTGTAAAGTGTTAGAATTTAGTATTTTTGACATTGTAAAGTCTGCATTAGTGAGGGTTATTTCACCAACACATATTCACAAAATTACTGAGAAATATGATGTAATATAGACTCAATCCAGCTCTGGAAGATATTTTGAACTCTATATTAGAAGAGTAGAGTTCAAAATATTTAACAGAGCTGGATTGAGTGCACATTAAATTTATTAAAGCCTGTTCCCAAAAGAACAGGCTTTAACAAATCGAAAGTGAGGAACTCCATCACTCCTGATCTTGAGGAAACGGAGTTCTGGAGCTCCTGAAGAGGCAGAATGGCTGCCTTATTCTTCTGATCAGCAGAGGCCCAAATGGTAAAGGGCCTCTGTTGATACAGATTCAGGAGCTCCGGAGCTCCATTTCGTAGGGATTAGGAGCTCTGGAGCTCCTGAAGAGGCAGAATGGCTGCCTTATTCTTCTGATCAGCAGAGGCCCAAATGGTAAAGGGCCTCTGCTGATACAGATTCAGGAGCTCCGGAGCTCCATTTCGTAGGGATTAGGAGCTCTGGAGCTCCTGAAGAGGCAGAATGGCTGCCTTATTCTTCTGATCAGCAGAGGCCCAAATGGTAAAGGGCCTCTGCTGATACAGATTCAGGAGCTCCGGAGCTCCATTTCGTAGGGATTAGGAGCTCTGGAGCTCCTGTAAGGGAATAAGGTCTCTCACACAACCATTAAAATTTTTTTGAAACACGTCCCCTGCAATTGCACTGGATGTCAAAAAAACTACTTTACAAAATGGTTGCAATTTGGCCGCACAATTTTGTAGTCTTCCCGTTTTCCAAATGTATAACATTACATTTTTTTCTTCTAATGAATTTAAATGATATCCTATATGGTAAAATGCAATTCACTGATCAAGACATTCACCCAAATAAATTCAGTGAATTGTGAAGTATTTTCAAATCCTACATTGATTCATACAATGCAATTTATCAGCTAAAAACCCAAAATGAAGAAGAATTAAATAAAATTTACAAAATGATCGAAACAGAATTGATTCAAAGAAATATCTACCTACAAGTGTTATAAATGACATTTTAAATATTATTCCATATAATAATCGCTATACAAAGTCGTATTTATTTCTTGCCAAACTCATATCTGATGATTATCATATCACAGAGGCAAGCAGTATTCCAACTATTCCAAATTTCCTGTTTTATAAAGAATATGGAATTAAGTTAAACAAATCTGATGATTTCAAAGAAATTCATTTTATAAATATCGATATTCATGCAGAAAATACAATTTACAGAGCAATTATGTATAATAACCTAGAAACATTCATCTCGTTCACTGAAAGAGAAGGATTTGATAAAGAGCAAACACTTGAAAGCACATTATATCCATATCAACTTTTTATTGAAGGATATTCATTACTTGAATTATGTTGTTACCATGGAGCAGTTGATTGTTTCAAGTTTTTAAGAACGAAATTCAATTCAGAAATAACTCAAAAATGTCTAAATTTATCATTTTTAGGAGGAAATCAAGAGATCATGAGTGAATGTTTGAAATATCAGGAACCAAATAAAGAATCCATGGAATATGCGATTGTTTCACACAACATTGATTTTGTTACATTCTTGATGAATGAGTACAATTTAGAGATCAAATTATCTTATTGTGGTATAATAATCTTGAATCATTTTTAGTTTATTTCGATCAAACTAATGATATTAACAAATGTTTTATTAATTCAGTGAACTTTAACTTTCCACCCCTTTTGGAATATTTCATTTCACTTGGTGCAAATATCAATGAAAAAGATAAAAATGGAAACACAGCACTTCATAATGTAGTAGCATGGAATTATGATGAAATGGCAGAAGTTCTTATTTCACATGGTGCAAATATCAATGAAAAAATAAATATGGAGAAACCGCACTTCATATTGCAGCTAAAAATTATAGTAAAGAAACTGTTAAATTTCTTATTTCACATGGTGCGAATATCAATGAAAAAGATGAAGATGGAGAAACCGCACTTCATATTGCAGCTAAAAATTATAGTAAAGAAACTGTTAAATTTCTTATTTCACATGGTGCGAATATCAATGAAAAAGATGAAGATGGAGAAACCGCACTTCATAATGTAGTAGTATGGAATAGTAAAGAAATGGCCGAAATTCTTATTTTACATGGTGCAAATATCCACGAAAAAAAAAATAAATATGGAGAAAACACACTTCATATTGGAGCGGCATGCTGCGAAAGAATATTCTTTTTCTGATATTGAGTCTAAATTATTTCGATAAGATTTTTAAAATAATGTTTTAAAAATACTTTTCTTCAATTGGCAATCTTGTTTCAATATAATAAATAATTTACAGAGAATTCTAACTAGCTTATGCATATGATCGGAGGATTTGATCATTCAAGACTAGTTAAGTCCTTTTAGAATTATGTACAATTTGACTAATTTGAGTCTCAGAATTTGAAAAAATTCGAGTTGAACTAAACTTGAAATCAAAAAAAAAAAAAAAAAAAAAAAAAAAAAAAGGTAGTGGGGCCTCCAGGCACTTCGTGCCCTCTAGCCCTGAAGATGTTTAGTATAACTTTGTCCAGACAAGTAAGGATCTATCGTCGCTACAGGAAAAGTTACGGGCGTTCCAAGGAAGTATACTTTGAGAAGACTTTTTCCCCTTATAGAATGAGATAGGACGGTTATTTTACAAAACTGACAACACTTTGACCGAGTAGTTTTTTGTGCTGAACAAAAAGTGTCATATAAACATCTGTCAAAAACCGCTTTTTAACTTCACTTAAAATGCCACGTAAGCTACGTAAGAATATACGTAAGAGGAAGAGAGCATTGAAACATCCAATAGTAAAACTGACACCACAACAACAGTTGCAACAACAAATTATGAATGACCCCACTATGTTGCAACAAATGTCAAGCAACCCTATGCTTTTAAACCGAGTTATTGGTGCACAGAGTGGAGGTTTACGAGCGGCACTTTTAGCGAAAATGGCAGGCTATGGTGGAGCTGCAGACGGAACAGCTTATAACCCTCAAAGTCAAATGAATTTGAGTTCACTCAAAAATCAAATAACAGATGTCAAAAAGTCAAACATAGACATACAGAAACAAATAAGTGAAAACGAAAAGAAACTAGAATATGACAGACACACAAAGAAACTCAATGAGTTAAACGTAGAGAAAAAGAAGAAAGAAGAACAACTGAAAGAACTAAGTACAGAGGAATATGCGAAAAAAGTGTCAGAAAAAGCAGCAGAAGTAGCAAAAATGGAACAAGATGTTATAAATTTGAAAAACCATACTACTCAATATAAAGTACTGAAAGATGAAGAGATAAAACAAAAAGCCCTGAAGACATATATGGATAGCGATGAGTATAAAAAAGAAGTTGAAGCAAATGTAAAGGCAGAAAAACTTTTACAGTTGCAAAACCAAACCGTACAGTATGAAAACTTAGCACAAGAAAGTAAAAATAACGACGCAGCCATGCAAAAGGCAATGAAAAGCGCAGAATATATAAAAGCTAATAATGACTGGTTAGATGCCCAAGCCAACGCTAAAGCAGCCCAACTTATAGGGTCAATAAGGACAAAAATACAAGCGGATGAAGACAGTTCAAATGAAGCTTTAATGAATGCTGACTTTAAGAACGCCTTCGAAGCTCTTCATAGTAAGGTGAAACTAGTGAACGACTTCTCATCTGGAAAGAAACTGAAGTCTGAAGGTTTCGACAACGAGTTAAGAGAAGTAGCACAAAATATGACGAAAATAACAGATGCAGCAACGAGACAGGCAGTTCAAAGTGCCTATGACGCCGTTAGAGCAACTGTTGTGGAAAGTCAAGAAAAAGAGTTACAACAGACCAAAACAGACCTAGTAAATGCTTTCTTAAAAACGAAAAGTCAGGTAGGACATTATGCTGCAGATGGAACATATGTGCCAGCTGGTGGAACTTATATACCAGCTGGTGGAACTTATATACTAGCTAGTGGAACTTATATACCACCAAACCCTCCAAGAGAAGCACCTGCACCAGGACTACCTAAAACATTTACATCGTCACATGGACACAGACACAGGCATGCACCAAAACCAACACAACAACCAACAGTTCAAAATCCAGCACAACAACCAACAGTTCAAAACACTGCACCACAACCAACAGTTCAAAACACTGCACCACAACCAACAGTTCAAAACACTGCACCACAACCAACAGTTCAAAACCCTGCACAACAACAACCACAAACAGAGCAAGGACATAAAAGAAGTAGAGAACAAGGAAACCAAGAATTCTTAAAAATGCTTAAGGAAAATTATGGTTACCCAGATACTCTTGACTTTAGTGACAGATATAAAGAAGCTATTAGAAAGTTCAAGGAAGGAAATACTGACCCGAACCTATTTAGCTTTATGGTTCAGCACCAAATGGGATATAATTTCAAACCTGGAAAATACAAGCTCGCTAAGGGATATGATTTAATAGCATATCATCCAAATGACATGACTGAATTTACTCCGAGATATTTGGTGTCAGAGCTAAATGATAATTCAACTCTCTTCATGAAACACGTAAAAAATAGAGACGGAACGAAAGAAGAAAGGTTTATGAGTCCGGATGACTTAGATAGGGAACTTTTTAAAAACGGTCTCGGAATATATGAAATGCCAGCAGATGAGGTACAAGAAACTCCACAGGAAGAAGTTCAGATACAACCAGACATGGAAGAAATAGTTCAGCAACAACAGCTAGAAGAGCCTGAAGGAAACAAACAAGTCCCTCCTTTGGAAACTAACTTCACAGAACTAGATGAAGATTTGGAACAGCCGAAAAATCTTGACCCTCAACAAGTGTATGCGGGGAATATGGAATCTTTCCAAGAGTCTAAGAAAAATTCGGCTGACATAGTAGAAGAATATCGAAAAATGTTCGCCGACATACAAAAGACTCCAACATCAGATGAAAATATTCAGCATAGAATGGAAGAACTGAAAGAAAGTGTACGCAAATACAACAATCCTTTTTACTTACGACCATATAACGTTCAATCTTTGGCTGAACTCGGTGAAAATAAAAGGTTAAATTTCAACAAAACATATAGAAATGAAACATTGTTTAAAGTTCATTCAGAACCTAACCAATATGGAAACAAACCTACTTTTGTTTCTGCAGACTATGGAACTACAATGAGATGGGGTCATAAAGCTAATCCGGATAGGTGGTTCATAAACTTACAACCACAATTCCAAGAAGTTGTAGACGCAATGGAAGTGAATGGTGAACCAGATATAGCTGGTATTTTCAGCGCGGCTTTAATGCCATTGAAAGATATGAAAGATGCAGATATTTTGAACCAGTATGAAATGAACATGGCTGATGGAAATATAACACCTGACGTTCTAAAACATTTATCTCAAAGAACTACACAGAACCATAAAGATGGTATATTTGGTGAAGAGTTTAGAAAGAAAGTTAGGGAGATAGAAGGAAGAGAACCTATTGTACATGACCTTGCAAACGAAAGTTTGCAAAATGTCATAAAAACTTACTTTGCAGACAATGAAATGAGAAGGGATGAATATTTAAGAAAACTCAAATGGACAGTACCAAATGAAATGTTAGTATTGAAAAACATGTTCCTTGACAAAATAAAACCAACTACAGAAATAAATGACGCAAGACTGAAACATTGGGTAAAAGCTTTCCCATTCACAAAAGATATTATTGGTAACATGGAAAGAAAACCAGAATGGCTACAAAAACATATATTTGGAAACGAGCTTATTCCATATGGACAAGCTATATTTGAAGAGCTTGAACTGGAAACTCAGGAAAGAGTCATGCAAACAATACGCGAAGACTCAAATACAAACTATGACAAAATCTTTCTAGGATATAGGTTACCTGAGATGGGCGACCAGAGCCCAAAGGCAAAAAGGACATGGGAAATTTACAACATACTAGGTGAACATGAGGCAAAGATGCAACAACTTGAAGCAGAGGGCAAGTTACCAAAAGCGACACCAAAGAAGAAGAGTAGAACAAAGTGAAAGTAGTGAAGAAGTAACTTCATCTAGTGAAAGTAGTGGCAATGAAGGAAAAAGAAGAGTTAAAAACTCAGTCAGGAAGAAAGTGAAGCTTGGTACGAAACAATTATGACAAATAAATCCAACTATTCTATATTTTTACCCATATGAAATGTACGCCGCTCAGAATATAACGCCAACAGTTTTGGATGCCATGAACGGAAATGTTTCCGAATGGTATAACGAATGCGACAATGCCATTAGAAGGTCAGAAATAGTTCCTGGAACTTACGAATATACAACTGCTGTTTCTTATGGAAACGTAGGTGAGTTTGGAGAAGGTTCTTCAACAACAGTAGATATTGCTTGCGACAGGTTTCATATTATTTCTATTGACAACTCATTCTTATACGTGGAACAAGACATTGAAATAAAACCTTCTGCCAAGTTGTCTGACAAGAAAGGTTGCAATGGAATTTTCTATGTCGGATACCAATATGCTCCAGAAGTTTTCATGGGATATAAGATATATTCTAACTCTGACTTAGTTCAAACAGTAACATGGGCAAACTATGAATGGTTCGCTTTGAGAAACTCAGTACAACCACAAGCTAGAGAACAAACAGACCAGTATGCAAATATTGAGAAAATAAGAAGACTTGACCCTAACGTTCCAGGAGTTTATGTTAACCTTTCTGGTTCAGATGGAACTGCTGCCACTAAAGTAAAACTGAAACTTAGAGTTCCTTTGTCATCTTTCCTCATCTTCAGGTTTTTAAGATACTTGCCAAACTGGGCAGGAAAAATTTCTATTGAACTTACTCCAAGCAAAAATAACTTAGTCATTGCACCAACACAAGACCCATTCAGCATTACTATAGCTGGAACTGGTGGAGCCAAGTTCTGTGACTTTTGCAAAGACAAAGTTGACTTAGACTTTGGTTTCTCAAACTTCAACAATGAAGTAAACTATTATTTCAATGCTGCTGGAACTGCTTGGGACCCAGTTAAGTTCACATGCGAAAAGTTTGAATGCAAGAGAATAGAAAGCAGACTTGCCGTTTATATGTTGGACCCAGATATTTCAAATGCTTTAGCTGCCAAATATATTGCAGTTCCACTTATGTTCCCTATACACCAAATATCTGTCAAAGACTTTGCAGGTGAAGTTGGAAACCAAAGTGCTGACCCAGGTGCAAGAACAGATATTGCTTTAACAACTGCAATGAAACATGCAGATACTATGTTTGTACTGTTCAGACGAACTATAAATGACTATTCTTGTTTCTACAACCCCGGTATTAAATATCATATAAACATAGATGGCAAATATTATCCAAGAGAAGAATATTCTACAGTTGAGGATATGAGGTCATACAACTTGACATTAGATGCTATGAACTTTAACAACAACTTCACAACAACCATTAACCCTGAAATGCAAAGTTCTATTATGCCATATGTGAAAGTATGGACTCATACAGGAGGTCAAAAAACTCAATATACAAATGGAGACCGTTCAAACTTTTGGCTTGGCATTCCATTTGCTGACTCAGAAGACTTTATGGGTGGTATTTCAACTGTTGGTACTGTACAAATACAATATACTGGTGACAGAGACGGTCCAGATGAACTGAGAGCAAAGAAGTTTACAAAACAATAGCACTTTTCACGGAAGATGCTCTTTTGAAGATTCGTTCGATGAAACCTGCTGGGGCTCCTCAGATTGGCATAACGACAGCTTCCATCGAGCAGATTTTGGCAGCAGGTCAGTAAGTTGTTCTTGAACTGACTTCTCTCCGTCAAATATTGACAGTACGCCAGTTTTGACATAATATTGTATTATAAACTTTCCTTTAGAAATATCTGTAAGTTTTGTTGTTATATTTTTGTCTGCTTCAAGAACTTTCACCATTTCAGTTATACCAACTTTCTTTGCTTTATGGAAATATTTTGGTTCAGCAAATATTGCTATTCTATAACATTTACAATTGTTTGTATAAAGAACTATTCTGTCAATGTATTTGTATTGTTTGTGTGTGTAAACTTTGTTCTGCTTCAATTCGAAGAGATACTCGAATACGTCCATCTTTTTATTCTAAGTAAAATGTCATTTCCGAAAAATAGAAGCGTGAGTGTTTCAAAAGGTTTAATGGCGGTGGCAGATGTGAAGTTAAATTCACCAACTCAAACAAACAGTCAAAGTGTTGTTGTCAATGTCAAAGACAGAGATGTTGAAGTGGGGAAACCATACGAAGACGAAGATGGTATAACAATTGTTCCTGTAAAAGAACAACCAACATATCCTGAAGTTAGCAGAGACTTAAGTTCTGTTGCAGATATTCGAAACGACTACCAACAACTGAAAGACAAACTTCAAACTCAGGAGAAGATTTGTCAAGCTTTAAGTATAATGTTAAACTTGGTCGAACACAACCCTGTAAAAGTGAACTCATATGTCATTGCACCTCATGAAGTTTTGAAAGAACTATTGAAACTTTTGACAGAGGCAGACGATATAAACATCAAAGAAATAGAACCCGACATTAGTTGTTGTGGTGTTTCATATAATGTCATTGACAAGATATACGTTATGAAAGGAGGTGAAACGTTGAACTTAAAGTATAGTTTCCCAGACGTCATAAAAAATATTTGACGACCACAACATTTCATTAAAATTTATTTGCTAAGTAAAAATGTCAAAACTTCTTGAAAGATGTTTGAAGAAAAATAATATAGACTTTATTTCATGTAAAGGACTTTACACACTTTTGAACGATATGAAAGACCCTGTTTTGTTTGTTCGTGTAGACAAAGGAAAGTTCTATGTCTTTACAAAATATTTGAACTTCTTAGACAGAGAACTTCAAGAAACGCCATGTGAAAGTTTAGATGAAGTTCTTCTCCACTTTCAGAAAAACTTTTAAATATATATAAATGGCAGAAGATATAATGGTTTATACTATTACGACTAAAAACCTGAGTCATATAATTCTATAACAACAAACTTACAAAGTCCTCAAGGACGATATTGTAAACTAACTTTAAACACAATGACGACTAAAGCCTGTTTTGCTCTTTTGACACCAGAAGACTTTATTGTTGTGAATGGTAAAAAATACTCCTTTGAAGATACTTACTCAGATATACCACCAACAGGTTTTGTTGACTTATTTAATACTTTAAGTACAGGTGTAACATGTGCTGCAACTAGAGCAGGTTTCATTATGTTTGGATGTCCGACTGAGTTTACTATAAACAATATGAGCTATAATACAAAACTTATTTCTGGTTTTTACTACCAACAGTTTCCTATAACAGGAAAAGGTGTCATACAAGGAATGTCTATTCCATTGACATTAAGCACACCAATCTTATATATTGTTTCAAACTTAGGTTCAAAGTGTTATTCGAATGTCGACAGAAACTATTATGACCAAAAGATACTTATGCGTATAAACAATACTTTCTCTGCTGGTTTGCCTATTGTTCATTCGAATGCAGAATTTTCAACCTTAGTGAACTCAAACACTTTGGCAAGTATAACGTTGACATTAGTTGACGCAAACTTTGTTCCTGTAAAACTTTTATGTCCTATGTATTTGTCAATGACGGCAGAAAGTTTCGAATTGGAAGATGCAACTGGTGAAAGTATTGTATTACAAGAACAACTTCAACAACAAATAGCTCAAGAACAACAAATGCAACAAATGCAACAACAAAGTCAAGAATAAAAAAAATATTTTTTTTTTATTTTTATAAAAATGTACAGAATAGATGTTTCAGATTTTTATGACTTCCAAGCATCAGAAATATGTGTCCATTTCGAGACTATAACAAAGCAGTCGAGAATTTGAAACGTTTTAGTCATTTATGTTGACTCTGCGCCCAGAATGTTATGTTATGAAAGAATGGGATGTAGTCTTTAACAAACCTAAAGCGACAATAGTTTCAGAACAAGAATGTAAACAGAAACTTAAGAAAATAAAAGTCGTACAAGTTGGCATGAAGATGTTAGATGCTTGGGATATCTTATTGTCAAAGTTAGAAGATTTTTCAGTTCGAGGTATAAAGTTCTATACACCTTCTCCAAACTTCTATTTCTATCTTCACTGGATATAAATATGAACAAGTAGAATGGAAAGAAAATATTATAGAAGCTTGGTTAGACCATGTCAAAGAAATTATATGCAATGGAAACGAAAGAGTCTATGAGTATATCTTATGTTGGTTTGCAAACATCTTACAACATCCAAGTGCTAAAAATGAAACTGCTCTCATTATAATTGGAAACAAGGAACAGGTAAGAACACATTCTTTACAGATATCTTATGCAAACTGTTAGAAGGTTATTCGAACCCTAATATGACAAACTTAGAAAACATCTGTGGTAAATTTAACTCTTCAATTGAGAATATGAACTTATAGTTTGCAATGAACTTCAAAGTATAGATACAACAAAAGTTTTTAAACTCAGATGCTTTGAAGAGTCTTATAACAGACAAAGTTGGAGTTGTTGAAAGAAAGTATAAAGACCAAAGAGTTTGTGAGAATGTTGCAAACTTCATTATGGTTTCAAACAATGCTGTTCCGATGAAGTTAGAAAGTTCCGACAGAAGATATGTAGTTGTCAGAACGTCAGATTCTCATATGCAAGATACAGAATATTTTGACGACTTAGCAGAAACTTTGACATCTGACTTTTACAACCACTTGTTCTCATATTTTATGACATTAGATATTTCAAAGTTCAATCCAAGACAAATTCCACATACGAAGAGAGACAAACATTGTTAGAAGCAAACAAGAGTGTGATAGAACTGTTCATAGATGAAACTGACTTTGAGTGTTTAGATGAAAGGTCATTGTACATTCGTATAAACAATATTGTCAAGAATATGGTTATATGACAGCTTCTAAACGAACATTCTTTGGCAAATGTCAAAAGTCTTTTAGATGTTCAGAATGGTGTATATACAAAGAAAATTTTTTCTGAGTAAATTTTAAAAAAAAATATTTTTTAT